AAGTCCAAACTTGCACGGAAAGTTAGGTTTGTATTCTAATTTTCCGTATTTGTTTGTGGCAAGTAGGTCAAATGGACGAAAACAGGAGCTGGACGGAAAACCGGCGCAATTACCCTACGTGATGTTCAAAGGGACAATGTTGCGGGACTTTGCAGGCATAGTTAGTAAGTAGTTGGTTTCAGGGATGTTGCCTAGAGAGGTTGTCTTGACTATACTGCTGCTGTCATTGTTTACGTGTCTAAATTAGGGAACAAACGCCGCATACGAACGTTAAATTCCCTTTTTTTCGTCTGCAAATGCATTAAATTGCATACCTACTCGGAGGGACCAGTAATTTAAGTGAGGCTACCCCTGCCTTTTGAAAATTAAAAGGACCTAGGTACTCACTAAAACTTGACGGTGTCGTCTGAAATGTCAGATTTTTGCCAGGGGACAAATGTGTCCCCTAGTGTATCCGTCGCTTAAATGTCGGCCATGTTGTTGCCGATCGACCATTTCGAAGAACGCTATAATCTTCAAGTCTAAAACGCGAGTTATTGTCGTAAAACGCAAACTGACGCGTCGCGTGATATGTACCATGTACGGAACATACATCAATACAATGCAAAAGTAAACCTTATGACCTGAGCATTAAGGATATTATTATGGTACATCCATGCACGGAACTGATACATCAATACAACACCAAAATGAACCTTATGACCTGAACAGTAAGGCTACACATGTAGGTGCATCATCATACCGAGGTCACTGCCCCAGCGCCCAGTTTATATCCATGGTATAGCACGTATGCCGTGGGATTAAGGTCTAGTTTTGAGTGCGTAAATTTGTCGATTAGAATGTTAATAGTAGGTGTGATGATTCTTTTTACAAGATATTTGGAACGACAGATTTGTTGAAGTAAGAAGAGCTAAACGTTTACGTTAATACCATGTTTGTTTTATGTTTTAAAAGTAATTTTAGCATTTATAGTGCAGATATTGCGAGTAGCATTTGTAGAGCAGATAAGTAGGTAGGTATGTACAGTTAAGACACTGTTTATTTGCCAAAATTAATACAATGATGATGCCTAATTGTTCTGTGTGAAAAGGGTTTTCTCTTGTTTTCAAGACAAGAATTTTTTTTAAATTATTTTGAAATCTTGAAATCTACCCAAATAAATTTCAAACTTACAACAGAATAACTATCAAAAATGACACAACACACCAGATTTAAACCGTTTAAACCTAGAATAGTCCAAAACCAAATGACAATTCACCAATTCAATTTCAACCACCACTAGAATCCAATTCATACATAATATTAATGCTGAAAAAGGATTTTACGCACCACTTTGTAAAACCTTGTATTACATTGTAAAACCCTGGTTTTCTAAAATAAATAAAAACAAAAAAAACTTCATCAAATGTAGGTATTTCATAGTAAGGTTAACCCAAAAGTCTCCAAAACATTCGTCACTTCGAAGTTCGAACAAAACATATCATTTTTAAGGGACAATAGATCCCGAAACTACAGCCACTGCATTGCGGTTTTGTCCTGTGGGCTCAGAATACTGTATTCTGAGCCTGTGGGTTAGTGAGTATGTGTCCAGTTGTAACTCACTCTTTGTTCAATTCTAATCAGGACATCTACTATAGGCAGGATGACAGTAGGTCCCGCTTGTCTTTGACATTCAATTTTCAACTCTATTACCTTTTTTTATCTACAACGCGGAAGGTGGCGGAAGCTCTTGGCCTGTATCTTGGCTTGTACCTTGATAATCCGTTCAAGATTGATTACTAAAAATTATTGGACTGGCGACATCTATGACCGTTAAATGCATTTTAGTAATGTCATAATATGGGAAATGCGATGGACAATACAGACGAATTTAATGCTACATACAAGTTTAAAATATGGCATTATCTTTCAGTCAACCTTTGGGTCATACAGTATTTTTACTGAGTGATCCAGTTTTATTTGATTATTGACTTGGCCATCGCACTAAATAATTTAATTTACACGTGTTTTCATGCGATGGCCAAGTCAATATATTTATGTAAAACGTTAAAGATTTCCTGGCCTGGACTTGGTATTACATGGATCTCACAACTTTTTACCGTAGAACAACTGAGTTGCGAGACTTGGTTTTTTTGATAAGTATTGTTTTTGATGGGATCTCATTTCTTTTTGTATTTTGTAGACAGCAGTTATGTATCTAGAAAACTGGACCGAAATTGAAAAATTTTACTCGACTTGGCGGTTGCACTACCGTGCCCCCAAATATTTTAGTTTTTCCTTGATTCATACACCAAAACACTACTTATATTCCAAATTTGAAGCTTCTAGGTCTGCTAGAAGTGCCATAGAATTTTGATGATCGGTGAGTCAGTCAGTGAGTCAGTCAGTGAGTGACAAAATTAAGTAACTTTGACCCGTTATAATTCTTAAACTACTGGTTCAAATTGAATGAAATTTTAAATATACCGTGTCTTTACAATGCCTGCATAGCTAATGAAAATTCAGCCTTCTAGTTTTATCCACAACGAAGTTACACAAATATTACAATGAGGTCTCACAGCGCGCGTGGACGTACAGGGTCACACACGAAACAATCACGGAGCTCTATTCAACGCTGTGCGTTCGATTTGCTGCCTCACTTAAGCAAGCATCGTTTGTGAATTCGGGTGTAATGCTGTTGACTCCTTTACTGCACTGTTCCAAGCAAATATTTATTCGATGTCTTTTCAGTATTCCAAATGAAGTTTTTACACGAACACTGAATACATACATAATTTCAGTGTGATATAAATAATGTACATATTGATTAGGTATATTTGTTCAGTATAAATTTCTTTCTCAATTCGTCAGTGTCGATTGTCAGCCTATTTATAGCAATTATGACACCCGTCTACACTGCCACAGCGTGGTAAGGATTCAGTGGGTCCAATCCACGAAACCATAAATAAAATTGAAGTCAATAGCCGAACGGTGAAGGGGTTGGACTGGTCGATTCGACATTCGAGGAACGCGGGTTTGAACCCCGCCGCCGCTGAACTATTGTGGTGCTGGTGAGCCCACTCATAATACAAGCATATGCAGCCTTCATTGGTTGGGTTTTTATGGCGGTCAAGCTGTAGATGCTGGCTACACAGGAGTTGCAGTGGTGAGAACGAGAGGTGGGAATAGTCCTGTAAGCATATTCAGCTTAGTACAATGTTAACGTGGCTAATATTAGTAATCAGAGTATTAAGATTTTCCAACTGATTTCCCATACCAAACCGATCTAACACCGATGCTCCCACACTGCCCTCCCAGTACTGCAACACGCCTTCAAAACCCAACCAATCAAATGAGTAGGCCCGGGGATAGCTTACCTACCTACTGTCGTGAAATCCAACAACGAATTTCATTAAATCAATTCGAAATAAGAACAGATTTAGACTAAGAGCTGGTGAACACCAGACCTACGTCATTTTATAAAAGCTGAAAGTTTGTCAGCGTATGCTCCCAATATAGACGTAGGTCTGGCGTTCACTAGCTCTTAGTCTAATTTTTGGTGATCAACACAAGAGCTTTTCACTTTAATGACGTGCCCACTGAATTTAACTCTAGTATGGCTTGTCAGGTGTCTTGCAAACGGTGTATGACTCACGTTATGCGTTTAGACCTAAGGCCGGAAGGGATGGGCGTTTCTCTCATCGCTAAGTGGAAAAGTTTGATTAATAAGTATATGATTAACGTATTACTTTAATGCATATTTGTGTCATTAGTTACTGTCAGTCTAGGAAATTGATTACGTTGTGTTGCACTATGAAGCTAATGAAGAGTATGAAGCGCAGACAGGACATTATAGTCATTTTTCTTGCAAAATGGCCCCATACGACTACTTACGATGCCATAGTGTTAAGCAGATTAACGTGTAATCATTATAATAATATTGAAAAATCAAAAACCCTGTACATAGAAACTTTGGTGTCGATGTTAGGGCTTGTCCACACGGAGACAACCCGTTTTATGCAGGCACTTCCCGTTTGCAGCATCCCGCAAAAAACCGATTCCCTCGAATTTGTTATTCGAATTTCAAACACACATTTGTGTGTTCACACGACAGTCCAGTTTTGCGGGATCCTGCATTGGGACCGTGACACCGTGGGAACGAACTCTTCGGCTATAGTATTGGTTTGGAATTGGAAGATTGCTAAAGCAAGTGTTCACCATCAATATCTAATTTTTAAGTAACCCCTTTGAAAACAAAATTCCTGTTATGTGTTACTATAGGGGTCACTTAAAATTAGGGTTTGATGGTGAAAACGGGCATAAGTCGATTGGAGTTGACTATTTATGTAGTACTTAGTTATGAACATACTTTTATCGCATCACCCTGAACACTAGGCTTGTAGTCGATAAAATAATTATCCGTAACATTTTTATAATGTCTTTTATTCTTATCAGCATGACCCAGGCCTTAGCCAGATAAGGGTTGATCTTGACCTTGCATCAGCAGGTTATTAACAGGATGACTTGACATCATCGCACTTAACATGCGTTATTGTGACTATCTTGATGTGATACAGTGTAACACTTTATTAGGAAGGGGCTGGTGCATTAAATGGGTTCATGTCGCTATTTTCACATAAGAAACTATAAATATTACATTACAGGTTGCTGGATTATTGGGCAGGCTCTTTGTCATATTTCTCTGATGGTGTTTTTCGGAAGATCAAGTTTATCTTATCTTGAAATGACGTAGCTCTGCAACATTAGTTCACAATTCACAGTTGAGTTGCACACAGGTGACAGGTGAAAAATCACTCCGTGAGTTCTAAGTAAGGCATCCAGTAATAATGCCATCAATATTACTGTAATTTCTTCCTTCGGCAATGACAATACGAGTATTTTTGTAAGTTTTGAAACAGAGGTTTCTTCTCAACGTTTGATAATTGCCCCTAATCAGCTCAAAGCTTACCAATGGACCAAGTAATTAAACCTGAAGGCTTAATATCGTTTTCTCTTTCCAGCATACTGGGGCCGAGACGGCGGCGGTGGCGGGAGCGCGGCGGCGCAGGCCCAAGCGCAGGCGCAAGCGGCGCTGTTCGGCTTCGGTGGCCGCTATCCGCCGCCCACCACCCTCGGGGTCGCCGCCAACCAGGCTGCTTCCCTTGGACTACACCCTGCTGCCAGTAAGTATCATATTTATGTCATATACCTTACATTCTTCATACGCTACCTTACACCTTCCCTTGAGGGTCACAGGCGGCGCTGTTCGGCTTCGGCGGCCGCAACCCGTCGCCCACCACGCTCAGGGTCGCCGCTAACCAGGCTGCCTCGCTGGGACTGCACCCTGCTGCCAGTAAGAATCATATTTATGCCTTAAACCTTCCATTCTTCAGCTGTCATATGAGGGTCTACCTACCTTACTTCTTCCTTTGTGGATCGCACACGTATATTCGGCTTCGGAACCAGGATTATTTGTTGGGACTCCACCCTGCTGCCAGTAAGTACATCTGTTCGGCTTCGGTGGCCGCTACCCGCCGCCCACCACCCTCGGGGTCGCCGCCAACCAGGCTGCCTCCCTGGGACTCCACCCTGCTGCCAGTAAGTACATCTATTCGGCTTCGGAGGCTGCTACCCGCTGCCCATCACACTCGGTCGCCGCCAACCAGGCTGCCTCGCTCGGACTCCACCCTGCTGCCAGTAAGATTCATCTAGCTACGTTACTTCTTACTTGAATCGACTCTTGAGGACTCCACCCTGCTGCCAGTAAGATTCATCTAGCTACGTTACTTCTTTCTATAATCGACCCTTGAGAATAGCATACATCTGTTCGGCTCCGGAGGCCGCTACCCGCCGCCCGCCACGCTCAGTCGCCGCCAACCAGGTTGCTTCCCTGGGACTGCACCCTGCTGCCAGTAAGTACCGTCCAGCTACCTTACACCTTCCCTTGAGGGTCACAGGCGGCGCTGTTCGGCTTCGGCGGCCGCAACCCGCCGCCCACCACGCTCAGGGTCGCCGCCAACCAGGCTGCCTCGCTGGGACTGCACCCTGCTGCCAGTAAGAATCATATTTATGCCTTAAACCTTCCATTCTTCAGCTGTCAAATGAGGGTCTACCTACCTTAATTCTTTCTTTGTGGATCGCACACGTATATTCGGCTTCGGAACCAGGATTCTTTGTTGGGACTCCACCCTGCTGCCAGTAAGTACATCTGTTCGGCTTCGGTGGCCGCTACCCGCCGCCCACCACGCTCAGGGTCGCCGCCAACCAGGCTGCCTCCCTGGGACTCCACCCTGCTGCCAGTAAGTACATCTGTTTGTCTCCGGAGGCCGCTACCCGCCGCCCACCACGCTCGGGGTCGCCGCCAACCAGGCTGCCTCGCTGGGACTGCACCCTGCTGCCAGAAAGTCTTCTAGCTACATTACTTCTTACTTGAATCGACTCTTGAGGACTGCACCCTGCTGCTGCCAGTAAGTTTATCTGTTCGGCTTCGGAGGCTGCTACCCGCTGCCCATCACACTCGGTCGCCGCCAACCAGGCTGCCTCGCTCGGACTCCACCCTGCTGCCAGTAAGATTCATCTAGCTACGTTATTTCTTTCTATAATCGACCCTTGAGAATAGCATACATCTGTTCGGCTTCGGAGGCCGCTACCCGCCGCCCACCACGCTCGGGGTCGCCGCCAACCAGGCTGCTTCCCTTGGACTACACCCTGCTGCCAGTAAGTTTTTTCTATCTACGTTACTCTCGTTACACCCTGTCCAGTAAGTGACTTCTTTCTATTCGTCTTTGTCCTATAATCCTTTTGGAAGATCGTGTAAATTACTCTGCATCGCTGCAAACCGGGCTGCTTTGCTGGGGTTTCAACCTGCTGCCAATAAGTTGCTACCGCTCTACATTTTGGGGAGTGGATAGGTGATAAATAGTTTTAAGATACAGCCAAGGAATAGTTTTAAGATACAGCCAAGGAGTGGGATTTTCTCTGTGCCCTATTCTGTGTCACCAAATTCATATAACATCAAGCCCTTCAAGTCAGATTTAAACAGATTTTTTGGGAAAGCTCGATAGACCGCATTAGTATCATCTGCCTCCAGAAACTATTATTCTAATCATACTTCCAGCAGATTATCCCAGTTATTAACAAATATCTTGCACAATATTCTCTCTCTAGTTGTTTCTCGGAGGACGTTGATCTCTGCGACACAGTTTTGTACTTATGCAGGGGTCATCGTTTTATCCATTGTATCATGTGCCTTTGCTGTTTCATAAAAAATATCCTCTTCTTCCAGGCGCAGCATGGTGGTCCATGGCCTCCCACCTAGCAGCGCAGGACTACCTGGCCCGGCTGCAGGCATCTGGCCTGAACTTCCCACCGCTCGCCGACCCGTACTCAGCGCTGTCGGCGCTGTCGGCCGCTGGACTGAAGCAGCCGAAGACCCAGCAGAAGCAACCTGGAAGGAATGAGAGGTAGGTCGTCTTGATCATTCGCGAATATAGTCTTTTTTCCGTCAGGAAATACATAGGTATACCCACTATCCAGGGGGAACCAGTGGGTTATATGAGGTTCTCCCTGCCAGATGAGCAGGGCCTTTCACTCAAAAGTCAAAAGTCAAAAGTCGAAAGTCAAAATTTCTTTATTTGTTTGGACTAATAAATAGTTCTTACAAATCGTCATTTTGCTCTTAAGTGTTGATGAGCACCTTCATGCTGTATAACGTAGAGCTGGCTAGCTGGAACCGCTATGATAGAACTGTCATTTGTATTCAAATGTGATGTTGTCTTTAGCTGTGTAATGGCTGTGCCGAACTCTCTATTGTAAATATTCTACGTGTGCTTTGATACCAATATATTTATTATGTTACTACCNTTCCGGTACGTGGCCTCCACTTCAGAACCTTGCTGCATCTTCGTCCGTCTGTTTTGCGTACTAAGGCAGAACCTTTGGAAGACCTTATCACAATGCTCGAAGACCTTAATAGAGTTTCCCAACAGGTAGGCCTTCGGATGAATATGGAAAAAATGAAGCCTATGTCGAATGTCCATGTTGCTCCTTACCCAGTTTCGGTTAGGAGTTCGATTCTCGAGATTGTTGACAAGTAAGTATGTCTATCTCGGACAAACGATCAGCTAGGTAGTTAGATGCAATTTCGAGAATGAGGTAAATAAAATAAATCATCATCATCATCAACAGCCCTTTACAGTCCACTGCTGGACTATGAGCCTCCTCCACTATAGTGGAGGGTTTTGCCATAATCTCCACGCTTGGCAGGCGGGTTGGAGATCGCAGCTTAAAAGATTGATGTTTTTCAGAGAGCGCTGCTGCCCATTCTCTGTTTGATGTGTAGTCCCTAAGTCGCCTCTTAAGCCGTGTGGTGACGGCAGAGTAGAATACATTTGTCACCAACCCCTACTCTCCCGCGGGTGTCGTAATAAAATAAATAAATAAAAATAAATAAATCGTCGAATACGAAGACGAAAGTCTTCAATTAGTGTGTGTTACCAGTGATGATATACGGCTCGAAAACGTGGCCTTTGAATATAGGGCACAACGTGCTATGGAGAGGGATAAGCTTGGTGTTTCTTTACGAGATCTAATCAGAAATGAGTAGCTCCGTAAACTAACTAAGGTCGCTGATATAGCCTGACGGATTAGCAAGCTGAAGTGGAAATGGGCAGGACACATAGAACGCAGAACTGACGGTCCATAGGCCAGTAAAATTAATGTTTGAAAGGGAGTTGAGATGTCGTTCTTTGTTGACCAAGTACCTATGGCAAATGCTAAAATTGATTTAGAACAAGTTAAATTAACCATAAATCGTAAAGATATTAAAATATTTGCAGTGGAACAAAAAGTGATGGTGAGAGACATGAGAAAATCATTGGTATTTGCCAATCATGTACTTTGGGCTTTGTGGCAGGTTGTGGCGAGTTAAAACGCTTTGTTTAAAATCTCAATTAAAACTTTTATCTGATTCCGATATTACGATATTGGGTCGCTCAATATCGGAATTGAAATATCGGATCTCGCAGTCCGAGATTCCGATATTACGAGATTCCGAGATTCCGATATTCATGCCCTAGTCTCGTTGCATGTCGTGGAGAGATTAGCGCCGCACAGCTGGTGCTTCGAACGCGTTCAGTGGGTATATTAGTAGACTAGACTAGTCACACTTTTCGAAAATCGAATCCATCCAAATAGTATGTCAGATTTTGCCACTTGTCTAGGGGGTAGATCATTTCGGGCGATTTCGGTTGCCATCGTGAGTGAGTGTGTGATTGAATAGCGAAAATTAAATTAGTTTACTTGCTGCGTAATCTGACTGAACTGCATCATGTCATCAGATCATCAGTGAAAAAAAGATCGCCTATTTTATTTGGCAATATATCGACATTAACAGATATTTACTATTTATGTATTCGTAATTAGACCGAATGGCCCAGAAAAAGAAAATAGGTTTTTGAAAGGCTTTAATATAGCTATTCTTGTAACTTTTTGGACTTTTAAATTAAAGCCGTCATTATTATAAGCCATTTTATTGACGTTTACCTCAAAGATTAATGCATTTCATTTTATTAATAGGAAATTGTCGTAGGTTTTTAATATCCGGTATCCGGCCGGATAGTGAGTTACTATCCGGTATCCGGCCGGATAGTAAATTTAGGCCGGATATCCGGCCTACCGGATAGTTACCGGATATCCGTTTCATCTCTACTGTTTNGGAATTAAGACTAGTTCCCTGGACACAGGCAGCAGCATCATGGACAACCCGTAACTTACCGGGCTTATTAGGGTTCACGACTCCGAAATGGGGAAGGTACCACGAAAGCGATATAATAGAAGGATAAAAGGAAGATACAGGATACAGGGATAGACGAGACAGCAAGATGACAAGATGACAAACCATAGAGAAAAATAAAATTATAAAAACATAGACTTAAAAGGAGGCCGTTCGTAACACTAAACGACACTCAAGACAAGAAATGAGGTCATACCCCGCCCTCCAGTCATATCCACATAAGCCACATATTCTTCAGAGTACTGAGCCACTGAGGTGTCGAGGAGGCAGCGTCACTCATTATGCCCAGAGATAGTGCTTAGAGCCCTATTTTGAAAGGTGTACAGTCTGCACACGGCTTTTTGTGACGAAGTGGCACCTAGATAGGGTGCGCCAAAGTTCACCTAAATTTTCAACTCCGAAAATTGGAAGTCCGAAAATGTTCTTCCTAAAATTTTTCANAAACTCGATAAAGGTCTTCGAGAATTCTGATAAGGTCTTCCAACGGTTCTGCCCTAGTACGCAAAACAGACGGACGATGAGGCAGCAAGGTTCTGAAGTGTAGGCCACGTACCGGAAAGCGCAGCGTAGGATTCATAACCACAAGGTGGACCGACGACCTCATAAAGGTAGCAGGAAGGCGCTGGATGCAGGCCGCCACCAACCGGCCATTGTGAAAATCAGCATCGGAGCCTGTGTTCAGCAGTGAACGTCCTATGGCTGACATGATGATGATGATGGCTCGTGGTTTTGTGAGTTGTACATCGATAATCAAAAAGGAACAAATTACAAGCATATTCAAGTTTTTACCACTCTCTTCAATTTTTGTAACACGTGATTTGAATGACTCTAAAATTCGTTCCGCCAACATAAAACAGGGTAGGTAATATAATGAAGGAGTAAAAGTTTGTTTGATACCTGTGATTTTACAAAAACACTTTAATTATTTATTTGCTAGTCCATATAGGCTCATTATCAGTAACCATTGATTATCAGGTCATCCGTCTGCTCATTTGCCTCTTGTCACATGTTTTGTACAAAATTAAAGATTTTGATTAAAATCATTATTTTATTGTAAACAATCCAGAATTCTTGCGAATATAACCAAATATTAATTTTATAGCACATGAACTCAATTCCGATATTAATATCGGAATTCCGATATTGAGATCTAATATCGGAATCCAATATCGGAATTGAAAACCTTCCGATATTACATGCCCTATTAGCTACCCTGGAATGCCAACGAGGAATACGAAGCTCAACAGCCGATGACATTAATGAAAGCCAAGCCATACNAAAAGTAAGCACATCGACATTAGGCATTTCTTTATAAGGGATGTGCTGCGTGACAATAAGTCGATAACTTTAGAACATTTGGCAACTGAAAATATGCTGGCAGATATTTTCACCAAACCTTTGCCTCGTATAAGGCATCACTTGCTGAGTAAAGGGTTAGGGTTGCGCGTACTCTAGTGCCTTGTATAAAGCATGAGTTGAGGGGGTGTGTTGATGAGCACCTTCATGCTGTATAACGTAGAGCTGGCTAGCTGGAACAGCTATGATAGAACTGTCATTTGTATTCAAATGTGATGTTGTCTTTAGCTGTGTAATGGCTGTGCCGAACTCTCTATTGTAAATATTCTACGTGTGCTTTGATACCAATATATTTATTATGTTACTACCAACCACTGTGTTTATTGCTCTGTAGCGGACTTAATATATCCCTAACATTAAGGAGCCTCTACATGTCTCATAATCTTTTTACCCTACCAGTGCTTCGAGACCAACATTTGGCAAGTGCTGAGAAGAAGCGCCGCAACAAACTCAGTCACCACTGTCTGCCGGTTAATATAAATAAATAGAAATAGTAGTAGTAGGTACATTCGATTCAGGAGCACTTCACTAAAACCTGACGGTGTCTTACCAAAGTCTTTGGGACGGAACTGCGAGTTATCCGAGCTAAACGACATTCTTTCGCGGTTTCGTCCCAGACTGTGGCTCGCTCTGTTTGAGCAAGCCACTACTGGGGGAGACCAAGCCTTGACTGACGTATAGTTAGACTTCCATTGGCTAAATGATGATCTATTGAAAATTTTTCATCATTGTTTCAGGTCTCACCTTTTTGACTATTTCTTTTCAAACTTTTTCCATAAGTATATCGTCGTTTTTAATCATACCTCGTGGTCCTCTGCTTAGTTCTAGTAGAGCTATCCACAGGTAATTTAGTTTTTAGGTAGGTACTACTAAATCGAAATATAATATTACCCAAAGAACCATTGATAGTCCACCGTTTTACCGTTTTAGTCCTGGTAGGACCACACCAAGACTCAAAGCAGTATGATCACCGATGAATGCACTTATTCCGTTAACATTAAGGTTGGTTTTTCCAGGTCAGGCCGCAGCAGCACATCATCCAGTACGTCCACCAAGGACAAGAGTCCTTCCACGAACACCTCCAACTCGCAGCCGAATATGAGTGAGTGGGGCACGTATCGACTTTCCTGCTTTGTAACAAAGTTCAGAGTCCTTTAACAATTTGTGCTGGTGGAGTGAGGAGTACTAACTACTTTATTGCTTTGGGATAGAGCTCATTATCATCTTATAGTGGTTAAGGCTACATTTAGACTTAGCTTGGTGAGTTGTGTGCGTTTAGAGTTAGATATCGACCTTAATGCTTTGAAGCATAGTTCAAAGACAACTAACGTATTGTTAACACAGCCTGTGCTACTTGAAGCTACGTCTTTGTGGACAGTACACCTTTTTTAGCTACGCCTCCATGGATAGTAGGCCTTAGTTGTAAACATGGGAGTAAATCTTTATATCTCATCATCTTTGCTTTTATAGGTGCCTTTATTCTGTGAACTGCAAAACTATTGGCTTATATTAATTATTTTGGTGGTTGGGTAATAACGGTAGAAATATAGACCTAAAACATTCACTTTAAGACACTTAATCTTTCGTGAACCTTTCGTTTAGATAGACCGATGGAATTTTCTGTTCTACGATTTCCTATTGGTCCTAGGTGACATGTATCACCCGCACCTTCTTACAGCTAACAAACTATAGTACTAATTAAGTCTAATATTCTTATTCTATTTCTCTTCAGGGTCAAGTTACGGTTTCCCAAAGACCTCGTCTCCATCCACGATGCACTCGCAAGCTTCGTTATCAAGTCTGGCGTCTCTCAACAGCCTGGTCTCAGCTCCTCATCAGTCTAAGTCGAGCAGCAAGCAGCCTTCCGCGCCTTCTCAGTCAAGTAAGTTAACAATTAAATTAGGACCAAAATGATGGGCAAAGCGTAAGATGAGCGCGTTAAGAATGTGTTGTTACGCTCTTAGGGATGTAGTGTAGGCACTGAATGTTTGAATAAATTAACTGCATAGACGCGCTGATACTGGCAGGGGATCATGCTTTGAGTGCTACTCCTGTGTAGTCAGGATCTACCGGTTTGCCTGACTGACCACCAAAACTTAGGGGAAAATACTTGAAACTGGAAACGAATGAATTTAAAGTCACCAGCGTATCTACATAAATGTGTTGAATTTATTATGTTGCATATTCATTGCTATGATGTAGGTACTTCTACTGTTCTACAATCCTATTTTAATTTGGTATTGTTCAATTACCGATCTTCTAAACCTTTTTCTCAATTTCTCTTACTATTCTTCAGGTCGGAAGCCATCTTCCTCGTCATCTTCCAAAGGCAAAGAGCGGGACTTGGCGCTGCTCCGCGGCGATCTGATGCTCGCACAGGCGGCGGCGCATGGCGCTTACCACGCGGCTGTCGCGGCTGCTGCTAAGGGGAAGGTAAATCAAATCAAACATCAAATCAAAAATGTCTTTGTATTTATCATACTAATATTATAAGTGTGAAAGTTTGGATGTCTGGATGTCTGGATGTCTGGATGTCAGGATGTCAGGATGTTTGTTACTCTTTCACACAAAAACTACTGAACGGATTTTGATGAAACTTTACAGTATTATTGTTTATAACCCAGAATAACATATAGGCTATAATTTATGACGATCTGTGACAAACGAAATTTCACACGGGTGAAGGCGCGGGCAAAAGCTATGTTCTATAAATGAGTACGTAACGTACGTAAATGTAACCAAACGCAGCGTAGGAAGTCCAATAGAGAACAATCTGCGCTCACCTATTGCCTGGTGAAGCTGAGAAAGCCGCTCACGGCTATCAGCATAGTCATTCGGAAAAAAAGTAGGAAGTCCAATCACAAGGTGTACAGACGACCTCATAAAGGTGCTGTATACAGGCCGCTACCAACCGGCCTTCTGGGAATCATTGGGGGAGAGGCCTATGTTCAGCAGTGAACTACTTGTCACTGAAATAATGATGATGACTGATAATTTAACCACCCTCACCTGTTCCCATAAGGTGATTCAGGAATAAATATACGGTCATCAAGCCACCCTAACCAGTCTATATTATTTAGTTAATAGTGGAGCTTGGGAATGGAGCCACTGTACATATGTCTTCTTAGTCGGGGCACTCTTGTCAGAGTGGTCGTGATTGCGCTGACGAGGTACACGGTGGGGTGATGTCATCTCCGAGGGTAGCTCCCCTGCGAATTGAAATTCAAATTCAATAATTTATTTGCTAGAATACATAATTACATGCCCGTTTTACAAAGCAGATCTTATAGCTAATATGATTCCCATGTATTCAGCCTGCAAGCAGACGTACAAATATTTTATCAGTCAGATTATTATTTAACATACAATGTCACAAATCAAATTAATGTAATATTTCCGTATAATAAATTTACAATGTCAAAAGTTAAATGTAGATGTCACAATAAAATTCATACACTATCTATAAGTTAAAATATTCGTCAATGCTATAAAAACCATGGCTCAGTAACCAATTTATCAATTTCTTCTTAAATACATTCCCTTCAAGTACTTTTAGTTCTTCAGGTAAATTGTTATATATTTCTATACACATATTATAAACATTTTTCTTATATATTACTTTGTGGCATTGGGGTTAAAACAATAGGTTTGTGAATTTAGCTCTTTTTTGACGGGTTATCACATCACTGCGTTTTTTGAAACGATGTGCTTCAATGATATTATATAAAAACAAAAGCAGATATGTTATAAGCGCTCGCGCTGTGAATACTCAAATACGTCCCAATTGGGACGTCTTGTGTTTAGTCTTCGTGTGGCCTGCGTCGTGCGCAATCGCGTGCGTACCACACCGTAAGTTCCTGTTCTTACCAAAATAAATAAAAAATGCCATCGTGTGTGTTTCGAAAGTGTACCAATTATGACTCTAAAGTAAACAAAATACAAGGGATCTCTTACCACATGTGATTATGGAAAATTATTTAGTATTTATATTTTCAATTATTTATGCAAACAATCAAGACGCCATGCGCCATGTTCAAGTTAAGAAAGAGAAAGCGATCTTGTTTTGACGTTAGAGCGATAAGGATGCGTGCACTGCGGACATAGATTAGTTAGTGCAGAATCGTTAAAACTATAGCTATCTCTTTCATTTGCGTGCTATTTCGTATATTTTGTTTCACTTATCAGTTACATTTGTCAATGTGTGCAATTTGGAATAGCTCGGCACGGATTCAAATCGTAATTTCTATGAACGTAACATATCTATAGTTCTTTAATATCATTGATGTGCTTCCATTTCTGACGGTTAGAGGCGTCGCGAGTACACTGGACCATGGTGGACTCAGTGGCCTTTGTACATATTAATTAATGTAGAAAGTATGTATTTCTAATCGCCCAATTTTTAAGTACTATCTCTATGTTTGTTTCAGAACATGTCTCCTCTATACCCCTTCGGCATGCCAGGCTCCGATAAAGACCGCCACGGTGGCATCGACTCGCTTACCGGCCTGCCGCACACCATACTGAGGTAAATACTTATAAAGACTAACGACCTGATTCACAAACATTACTATGAGGTCTCACAGTGCGCGTAGACGCACAGGGTGACATATGAACCAATCACAGAGCTCTATTTAGTGGCTGTGCATTCGATTTGCTGCTTTACTTAAGTTAAGCAAGCAACGTTCTAGAATACCAAGAATAAATAATATCAAGTGTTACTAACACTGAAATAACCTCTCGCATAAGCGTAGACGTGGAAAGAGTCTTTAAGCTCCAAAAGAGATGCATTCGAGCCATCACAAGTACGTGGTTTACAGACAGCTGCAAACCCCTATTTAAAAAATTAGAAATTCTGCCTTTAGCCTGCATGTATATAAGGAACGTTTGCACATTTGTAGTGTCTCACCCTAATTTATTTCAGAAACTTAATGAAGTAAAAACAAGGAAACTAAGGGCTCAGTATGTGAATCTGTTATATCAGCCTCAATGTTCCACTTACATTTATAGAAAAAATGTATTCAATATGTGTATCACATTGTTTAACAACCTTCCAGACAATTTAAAAACTTTGGACTGTAAGCTATTTAAAATAAAATTGAATGAATGGTTATTTGAGTACTGTTTTTACAGCGTGAATGAATTTATGGATTATAAAAATATGACAATGTAAATGTAGATAAATAATAAATTGACTAAAGTAATGTAATGATATAATTGAATGTAATGTTAATAAGAGTGATCCTACTGACTTACCACTTGACAAAATGTATTTGCACACCTGCATGCAGGTTGAATACTTGTACTAAAAATTTTTTGTAAGAACCTTATAACCTGTATTCTGGCAAATAAACGCTTCTTATTCTTATTCTTAAGCTCTATCAATAAATAGGGGTTCGAATAGCTATCCTAAAACCCCATTTCTGAATTTTGTACGTAAGGATTCTTTGATTTGTTGCCTATTTGGTTTCAACCAGTTCTTGTGTAGGTATTTAATTGTTTGTACTCGTGCTAATATCACAGACTACCTAGATGTTGCATGCTAATTTTTATTTGTGATCAACGATCACTGTACTAACACATTTCTTTTTCTCTTCTAGTGCTGCTTTGGAAGGCGGGTAAGTTATTTCAATATTTATATTAAACCTAAAGTAAAATACAATAGTAGAACTAATATCAATTAAGGATTTCAAAAAAAGTACAATAATAACATAAAAATCCTGTAAGTGTTTTTTCAAAACTGTCGCGTTTAATGGCTAACACGTTCTTTAGGTTTCTGATAATGATAAACTGCCTAAGAGTTACAGTGTGTATAATGTCGTTTCGTTTGTTCCAGTGATCCATCTTCAGTGCTGGGCGGAGTGAGACTGCCTCCCGACACTGAGATCATCAAGTACACTTCCTCACTGGCGGGGCCTAAGGTATATCTCTTATTGCATACTTCAAAAGGTGCACTTTGATGTACCTTCGTCATTGTCCATCATGAAACAGAACTTTATGTAGATGGGTAAAGGACGTAGCACATTTATAAACTCGGAAAGAGATCGTAACCGTATCAATTCGAGGCGGTCAGTATTTTTTGTATGAAACTCCATACTGCAACGCACACTTATCCGCACCGTAACGTAAACGCCTCGTGGTTGACAGCGCGCGAAAGGCGATACGGTGTTGTCTGCTATGACCTATAAGGCTTAAGGTTCAAACTTAATTGTTTTTCTAGAAAAAGAATCTCTTTTGGTAGAGCTTCTAGAGGGAAAGTCGAACCTTAACTTCGAACTCCTGTGTTCTTCTGATTAATTTCGTTGCGAGTCCAATGACAGTTTAACTTTCCCCGGGACAAAATTAATCTTCACTCGTTGGGCTATAGCGGTCAAGCTGTATATCCTGGCTACACAGGAGTTGCAGTTTTAGGAACGAGTGGGAAATAGTCCCGTTTCTGCTAAAAGGGTTTACCTAAGTCAATTCATGTATTTTTTTCAAAGGGTTCTTTCTATTTAACCACTTTCTTGACAGTAGCTGTACGTTTAATACCGTATTTCGTACTTTAATCAAATGCTTTAAGGTCCAAACTCAATCACACATATTTTACTAATAGTTTTTGTTTATCAGGTGCCACCCGGGTCTACGAATAGAGGGAGAAAGAAGACAATATCCTTGGACCCACCACAGGTCTCCGTGCACCCCTCGTCTGCCGACCGAAGCACCCCTGTCCCTAGCAAGAGGCAGAAAGTGGTAAGACTTGAGTTAAAATGAACTCCTAAAGAAAAAGCGCTGAAAAGGTTAAAGTTTCCATGCTCCGTAAGGAACTGCGTCGAGCCCAATTATCAGCCCTTATTGTTAACTTTAACTAATATTATTAATATGACTTGTTACAGGACGACTATGGCAACTCGCGGTCGTCGGTGGAAGTGATCCGACTGCCGAACAAACCGGACCGGGGCAATTCGTTGTCGGGGACGCCGCCGCCGAATTTGTCTGATTATGCGGGTAATTTCATTTCATTTTTGTTGCAAAATAGCTCATGTTAAAACGACATAAGATGTCCCAATGTTTAGCTTAATATGCTGTCGTCTGTACATAGGAAAAAAGGACTGGATTCAGGCCGCTATCGACCAGCCAATCTGAAAAGCATTGGGGGAGGCCTAGTTCAACAGTCTACATCCTGTGGCTGAAATAATGATAACATTGATAGATAATAGACATTGAACCATTCCAGAGGGGTTTCGGCAGAGTATAGAAATACCCTCACTCTCCAAGAATTTTGTAAGAGGCGATTAAGAGACAAATATTTCGCATATATGTCTCATTAGGATTCTCCAACCCGTTTGGCCAGGGTGGGGAGTGTAGGCCAAATTCTTTATTTCATCATCATCATCCATCATACCACAGGACATCTACAACGAAACATATGCCTCCCCCAATGATATCCAGATTCCTGCAACCTTTGTAAGGTCATTTGGGTCCGCGCTTGCCGGTACATTCAATATTATGGAAGTCTCCTGGCAATGGAGACCAAATAACCAGTTGATGACGAGTAGTTTAAAGATAATGCTGTTTTATGTACATTTTGTGACCAGGTGTGACCATAATGTGCTTGTTTACAGGCATCTCCCGCGAGTTACTGCAGACCATTGCAAGCCAGAGTGGCGTCAGTTTGGCTGCGTTGGAGCGACAACTGGCCGGCTCTGCCAGTGCCGCAGGTAAATACAACTCTATCATTTCTAATGGTCGTGTCTTCAATTCAGGCGGTGCGTCCGTTAATTGTTAATTGACGTACTTGAAGTAACGGATTGACACTTCTACAAGAAGCCTACAAAAATCAAGCACGATGCAAATCCATAAAGGAGATTTATTTAAAAACCCGACAATAAGTGGAGCATAGTTGAGCACAAGCCAAACACTCGTTCGAGGCTCGTATGTCGGTCTACAATACACGAATTTTGTCTATGCTCGTCTAGCGTAGACCGGACTTAAAAATTGCTAACGGACTCTATTTATATTTATTTGTTATGCAGCACGAAGTATTTGCCTTAAGGGCCCTACAAATAATGTATCCAATAACTGTACCTTGTTTATTTCAGATTCGGGGCTAAACCTCAGCACAAAATCGAACTCTGAAGACACTCCTCTAGACTTGGGACTGAAGCAGTCTATGGACGAGGATGCGCCTCTCAACCTGTCTCTTAAACCTACGCCACGTAAGTTACATCTACATTATATTATGTACACCTTTATATACTTGGTTATAAAGTCCCTGATAGGCTATTAGGGACTTATCTAACTGATATCTAATAAATATTCTCCTTTTAACGGAGAAGCTCTTGTTCTGAGCATGAGCCTCATCCTTTGCCTCTTATGTTTTTTAATATTTTTTTACGTTTCTGTTTGTTTTCTGCATCCCACTTAACATCAGGTGCGATTGTGGTCAAATACCTGCCTTGTTATGCAGCGTGAGACGTCCACCTACAAGATGGACCGACGACATCGTAAAGGTAGCAGGGAAGCGCTGGACGCAGGCCGCTACCAATCGATCAACGTGGAAAGCATTAGGGGAGGCCTATGTTCAGCAGTGGACGTCCTATGGCTGACATGATGACGATGATATGCATAAATAAAATTTTATAAAAAAAAAAACCGACTCCAAAAAACCTACACTAAAACGTAGAAAAATAATTACTAATTACCTACTTATTTATTAGGACGAATTATTAATATTTATGTAGGTATACCATGATTGATACTTTTGGAGTCGGTGCAGGCAAACTTTACATGTTTCATAATCTTGGCACCGACTCCAGAAGTATCAATCATGGTATACCTACATAAATATTAATAATTCGTCCTAATAAATAAGTAATTATTTTTCTACGTTTTAGTGTAGGTTTTTTGGAGTCGGTTTTATTTTTTTTTATAAAATTTTACTTATTTCTTGCTTTTTAGTTAACTAATTATTACCTTGATGTTACCACTGAAGGTAGGCAGTACACTGAGACCAAAAAAAATTGGTTCATAATCGGCGGAGATATTGCGTATAAAAAAGTTCATCCCCAATTTTCTACCCTTGGGGGTGAAATATTTTCTTCAAATTCGCATGAAACCACCCTTTTGATAATACCTATTCAACAAAAAAATAATCGTTCAAATTGGTTTATAATCGGCGGAGATATTGCGTATAAAAAAGTTCATCCCCAATTTTCCACCCTTGGGGGTTGTTTTTTTTATTATTAAATTTAAATGGGACCACCCTTGAGGTATTACCTATACGTTGAAAAAAGATTTGTTCAAATCGGTTCATAATTGGCGGAGTTATCGCGTAACAAACATAGAAAAAAAAAAAAACATACGGGTCGAATTGAGAACCTCCTCCTTTTTTGAAGTCGGTTGAAAAAAGAAATCATGTAAAAAAAAGAAAGCATGTAAAAACGAGGCAATAAAGTATTATCTTATCTTACCTGCAACCCACCTACAAGGCGATAAAGCTAACTGCGCACCTCGCTGAATGCGACTCTCCCTCGCACCTACCCGCACACCTCCTGCGTTCGCCCTGTACGTACCAGAACGCTCGAGCGTCGATGTGACGTCACGGCCACCTAGTGCGCAGTTAACTCAATGGGGTTGTAATGGAAAATGATTCAAATGATGATCAGGCTCAAGTTTGACCATTTTTGTATCGAATTTTTTTCTAAAAGTCAATTTATTCAGAGAAAATTTACGCAGTGATTGCGATGATTGTCACCAAGTTAATAGTTGACATGGCCACAAATTACTTATTAATTTTTATAACTTTACTACAGTACTTTATAATCGAAAACAAGGACGAATTTAAAAGGTCCCAAAGTCTGACTTTTGAACTACTATACAAGCATTCGGCACGTGTCGAAAAGAAGCGCCGCAACCAAAAATGTATCATAATTCTTTGGTAATAAGGTTTGTTTTATTGCAGCAGCTACACACGCGTCAGATGCGCTATCGCGGCTGACGTCACTCAGCAGTTCGCTCAACGCATCTGGCAACGATAGGATATGTAAGTGATGAACAGAAAATATTATTATCATAAAAACATATTCCAAAGATTTTATCTGCGGTGTTTCCGGACCGATACGACCTGCATTCCTTTAAAAAGAGAGCGTATCTTCTTCACCTTAAAGGCCGGCAACGCACCTGTAACGCCCCTGGGTCTGCGGGTGTCTATGGGCAACGGTAATCACTTACCATCAGGTGATCCGTCTGCTCGTTTGCCTCCTGCACATAAAAAATACTTCTAAGGGCTTGTTCCCACAATCCAGTCCCTGACGCTGCAAACGGGATGTTCGTGTGAACGTTATAGCCTGACCAGGAACATAAAAACCCTCGCCATGTTGCGGAAAACTAATGGTACTAATTTCTTTTAATGGCAACAGTAACTGAAAACTTCATTGACATGTCACCTTGCATGTCAGTCTATTGTTGTCAAAGTATAAACAAACTTTATTTTAAATGTGTGCAATTGATTTTGTGAATTAAATTGCTTAAATATTTTTATAGTCGTGAAAGAAAAGTGGTTCACGGTGTGTTAATGTATTTGTCGAAGAGAAATACTAAGGGTTCGGACAATATTTTCATTGAATAATGTTTCAGACAAAGGTTGTCAAACTGACTGACATGTTTATCGTATAGTACAGTCCACTATCAAAATTAGCTGTAGTCTGTTTCAACTACCCATTTTAAAGTTTCTTGTTACTTTCTAAGTTTTGAATTTTATGGAATTGGGAATTTGGGAAAGAAGTACCGAGTTTGAAGCGTTCATGAGCAGACATTGCACTTGAATATTCAAGTTCTGAATTTGATTATTGATGAATAATAAAATAAATCCTACTAGCTCGATTGATGGTTTCATTTAATTTATTTAAACCAGGTTACCTTTAATAATATTTTTCGTTCATTTATGAAAATATCAAATTAGCCCGTAATCCTGAATCCTGATACATAAAATTTAGCCTATTAATTTAACACATGTACGACTGTACTCAGTGTTGCACTATCAAATGCAATTGAAGCGCCTCTATGCCAGGGTTTTTATGTTCCTGGTCAGGCTATAATATTAAAAAGGCGTATTAAAAGGGATCCTGAAGAAATCAGTTCCTGTAATTAAATAATGTTGTCTTGTTTTTAACTACACTCCACAAAACTTATTGCATTTACTTCTTACAGCTCGACGAAAGCCAGGTGCAAAGCCAAGGCGTGTGGTGCCTGAACTAAACTCGCAAGTTGCTGACCTACCGAGACCTAAATCTAGCGGCAGCGAGGACAGTGAATGTAAGTATAGATGACCCACGCTGAACTGTCCCACCAAAGTCAATGACAGGGGGGCGCTACCATCGTTCAACTATATGGTTTCCAACATGGCAAAAATCTGAACCAGCGATCCGGTATTGACGGTGGCGCCCCACTGTCAATGTCATCGACAGGACAATCCAGTATTTTGGAACTATAGTATACTTGTAAAGTTTTAACGTCCTTAGATCTGGGATGAAGTCATTTGGCACAAGACTGACTGAAATGGTCGTAGTCCAAAAATATTTCTGGCAATATCTGTTTTGAAGACCCAAAAAAATGTGTAGTAAATTGGTTTTCGAATTGAGACCGTAGTGTTTGGCGTCAATGCTCAATGACTCTGAGAAGATAGCTGGCAGCTGTTAAAGCTGTTTTAAAAAAGCGGAAGGTTGTGCTTTATTGCGTTAGTTGGAGGAGGTTCAGCTGTGTACTGCTATAGGTTGAAATGATGAATCACGTATACCTAGATGAAAAATGGCTGAATCTCATCAGCCTGAAAGGTCGAAATTACTGATCATGTACTTGTTACTAAGGCGCAGTTACACTATGCGCGAAGTTGATTGTTTTTCGTTTTGATGTGTCCTCGCATTTGTGTGCGTAACTTCGCGCATAGTGTAACTACTACAAGCTACATGTTATAGTTTATGTCAAAATAGTAATAATCGTTTTTTTTACCGCAGTCACAGTATTATTGATGATTTTATATCTTTCACAGCGGTCCCAGCATGGCCTACGCGGGAAGGCAGGCCTCGCAACCTAGGCCGCGGGGTCAGCAAGCCCAAGAAGAATACCGTTGCCTCACTTCTGGCCCAAAGCCGGGCCTTAGGCCTCAGGCCGGCACTAGCCCAGCAACTACTGGGAGAGACTGACTTGGTAAGTAAAGATCAACTTATAGGCCAGGCCTTGTGACCTAGGCCACGGGGTCAGCAAGCCCAAGAAGAATACCGTGGCCTCACTTCTGGCCCAAAGCCGGGCCTTAGGCCTCAGGCCGGCACTAGCCCAGCAACTACTGGGAGAGACTGACTTGGTAAGTAAAGATCAACTTATAGGCCAGGCCTTGTGACCTAGGCCGCGGGGTCAGCAAGCCCAAGAAGAATACCGTGGCCTCACTTCTGGCCCAAAGCCGGGCCTTAGGCCTCAGGCCGGCCTTGGCCTAGCAACTACTGGGAGAGACTGACTTGGTAAGTAAAAATAGGCTATAGGATCGACCTCGGCCACCTAAGGCCAGGCCTTTTCAAGGTGAGAGTGAATAAGCACTTACATGGCAGATAATGTACCATACTAGGCGGCATGTCACTTAACATCAGGTGCGATTGCAGGCCGGCCTTGGTCTAGCAACTACTGGGAGAGACTGACTTGGTTAGTGAAGATAGACAAGTTTATAGGGCAGGCTTTGTAACCTAGGCGGCGTATTCAGCAAGCCCAAGAAGAATACTGTGGCCTCACTTCTGGCCCAGAGCCGGGCCTTAGGCCTCAGGCCGGCCTTGGCCCAGCAACTACTGGGAGAGACTGACTTGGTAAGTGGGAGATAGACAAGCTATAGGGCAATCGCAGGGCGGCAAAACTCCAGATTTCCAACTTTATTAGTCGCAGTGTTTTAGCTTGATCTACCTTCACCTGTTTATTTCATAGAAATTCAGTGACCTATCTCTGGCTTAGGGCTTTTGGTTTTACGTCGGCCGTAGCGCAATATAGTCCAGTCAATGAATGCCTTAACGACGGTGTAGAGAGAAATCCGTGGAACACAATTTCTGACCTCGGGACTTTATTAAGCCTAGTTAGGTGGTGAACATTGCAAAAGTCCCCGCCCTTAGCCCTTGAGCCGGCGGGGAGAGGGGGGTTTGAAGGTACCACTTTTCGGTTTTTCGCTTAATCCTCGGAAACTATGCGTCCTAGTGACATGACTACTATGAACCAAAAAAAGCTTATTCAATTTGCTACAGGTGAGATAGTCAAGTTTTTCGATATCTTGTATAGTTTTTGCGGCATCTGCTCTAGAAGGTCTGTAAAATTGGAAATTTTATTGTTGTCTTACATGTTCCTTTCAGGAGAAAATCGACTAAATCAACATTGAGCAAACACTATAGACATGCGGGAGCATGTTAAGCCTAGTTCCATGGAGGGGACTGCACCGTGCGTATATTTAGACGAACCAATTAGAGCCACTTTTGACTCCTCATCATACAAAAACTACTGTGCATTAACACTTCAAATTTGGCTGATGTATTGAGACATGCAAGATGTACATCAGCTTCAAATTTCATAAATATACCTCAAACGGTTATTTAGGTATTGACGTTCAAAAATCGATATTTAGAGCACTACTATCTATCTATCACATGTGAAATGTTAAAATTTACTGGTTTTTTATTTGTTCCTTTGTATCTACATAACTACCTTTCTGGATGCCAAATTTGAACCTTCGAGGTCATCTGGAAGTGGTTAGAATTTGGTCTATAGGTCAGACATGTAGATTTTTGGACGTCAATATCTAAAGAACCGTTTGAGGCAGATTTATGAAATTTGAAACTGATGTATATCTTGTAAGTCTCAACACATGAGCCAAATTTGAAGTGTTAATGCACAGTAGTTTTTGAGTGATGAGGACTCAAAAGTGGCTCAAAGTGATTCGTCTAAATATACGCACGGTGTAGTCCCCTCGCTGGAACTAGGCTTAACATGCTCCCGCATGTCTAGAATGATTGCTCAATGTTGATTTAGTCGATTTTCTCCTGATGGGAACATGTAAGACTAAAATAAAATTTCCAATATTACAGAACTTCTAGAGCAGATGCCGCGAAAACTATACAATTTATAGAAAATCTTGTCGATCTCATCTGTAGCAAATTGAATATGCTTTTTTTGGTTCAAAGTAGTCATGTCACTAGGACGCATAGTTTCCGAGGATTAAGCGAACAACCGAAAAGTGGCACCTTTAAACCCCCCTCTCCCCGCCGGCTCAAGGGCTAAGGGCGGGGACTTTTGCTATGTTCAACTCCTAACTAGTCTAAATAAAGTCCTGAAGTCAGAAATTGTGTTCTACAGTTTTCCATCTATAATGCTTTATTGACTGGACTAATAGGACTTAGTATAGGCTGAATTGGTAAAAGACAAATCAATAGATATTCATTTACATGGGCAGTAAATCCTAGATAGGATGACCTGGAGTCAGTGATATCAAAACGAATTATGGTTCAGTGTCTCATCAGGCCTTAAGCTATCATTTAAGATCGGCTTAGACCGTACTAAGACTGTTTCCAACTGGTAATCATTGAAGGAGGAGCTTACCTCTTATAAAATAATTTACTCTGCCTCCTCCACATGATTTCATCAGCAAACTATTTCTTTGTGATGTAATAAATCCTTAAATATCTCTATTAATTTCCAGGAGAAGCTGAAAGCGTTGTTAGGCGAGACTGCGAGCACGGACTCCGAGTGTCCCTCCGACAGCTGTCCGTCAGACTCCGATGCCAGCGACACCAGCCGCCGCTCCAACGACGCGCAGTTACGTCTGCCGCTCGCACTCGGTAAGAGGACATTTAGAAGCTAGTTTGCAGTTGGGGGTCTCTCAGACTCCAAGTGTCCCGTAGACAGCTGTCCGTCAGACTCCGACGCCAGCGACACCAGCCGCCGCTCCAACGACGCGCAGCTGCGGTTGCCGCTCGCACTCGGTAAGAGGACATTTAGAAGCTAGTTTGCAGTTGGGGGTCTCTCAGACTCCAAGTGTCCCGTAGACAGCTGTCCGTCAGACTCCGACGCCAGCGACACCAGCCGCCGCTCCAACGACGTGCAGCTACGGTTGCCGCTCGCACTAGGTGAGAAGTTCGTTTATGTTTCTGTTTGAAGGTGGCGCTTGGACGTCTTGACAACACAACATTCCTTCATTTTGACCGCACAACATTCCTCCAGTATTAGTTGCTGGTTCAAATCCGGCTCGAAGGACCATAAAGATATACGAGCTGTTTGCTATTGTTATTGATAGTATACGAGTACACGCCGTGGCAGTTAATTATGCACCGATTAATAGCATGGAAAGTGATACAATTAGGGTAAAAATGCTGATGGCGCGGAATGTGCGGTCAAAACCGTATAGGCCAAATGTAAAAATTGCACAAAATTGTCGTCTAGCTCGTCACAGCCACAGTTGGTATACTGCAGTCCATTTGTAGTGATAAAGGAAGAGGGCAAGTAATCTCATCAAGCAGAATAGCTGACACATACACACATATTTGTTAAATATACATACTAACTACATTTTCCCGCAACCTTGGGAGTTTTCTCGTTTGATGCACTGCGATACACCCTCGTAATATCGATACGCGCCTATACTTGCTATTATTTCGGCCAATGCTTTAAATAGATAGTTCTATTTCCCCACAGGTTGGAAGAGGGTGACGGTGATCAAGGGCCTGTCGCGCTCCTGCAGCATCAAGGGCGACGTGAGCTACTCGCCGCCCGAGCCGCACGCCGCCGCCGCCATCAAGAGCATGCACGAGCTGCAGGCGGTGAGTCTCATTTACTACGCCTTAGGGTCTACAATTGTGACAAGAGTATCATTGGCTCTCGTCGACTCCAGAACATTCTAGAAAAACAAGCGACGTTCGCCTGCCCGATCAATGGACAAAAGACGCGCGTCGCTTTCGCGAAGATTCCAGAAAAACAAGTGACATACGTCATCTTAAAGAACAAAAGACGCGCGGCGCTTTCGCGAAGATTCCAGAAAAACAAACGACGTTCGCCACCCGCTCGCTTAGCGGACGAAAGACGTGCGGCGCTTTCGCAAATAATGTAGAAAAACAAGTGACGTGCGCCCGCTCCCTCAACGGACGAAAGACATGCGGCGTTTTCACGAAGTTTCTAGAAAAACATGCGACGTTCGCCCGCACCCTTAACAAACAAAAGAACCGCATCGCTTTCGCGAACCTTACAGAAATAAACAAGTGACATTCGCCTGCTGAAATGACAAAAGACGCGCGTCGATTTCGTGTAGTGACGTGTGTTGCTTCCGCGTAGTAATGTGTGTCGCTAAACCCTGTGTCTATCAAAGTGATCTTTGTAAACCTATGAAGGTCGATTGCTTTCTGAAAAAGGTCTAAGTAGAAAGAAGCTGTCGGCATAATGGGGACCATGTGAAGGTTGGGGAGACCCAAAAGTGGTCTAAGTAGAAATGGGAGTAAAATAGGGGGGTATTTTACAATCTAAAAGGGGTAAAATAGGGGGGATAGTTAGTATATTGGGGTCCCTATAAGGCTGGAGGGTGACGGTGATCAAGGGCCTGTCGCGCTCCTGCAGCGTCTTTCCATTCTATACATAGCCAGAACGCAATGGTGTGAAACTAATCGAGTATAGTTTGGATATGACTTTTTTTACTAAGCTCCTCCAAACTATACACGACCAGTACGCATACGCTGCGTACTGCTCGCGTATACTTTGTAGTGACTTAGGTCAATTATCTTCCTCCAAAATATACATCGCCAGTACGCATACGGACTAATCATGTATGTATTGTAATAAGTGCGTGATTACAATTTACTCAATACTCAATACTCAATATGTTTATTGCTTCCATAATACATAGTAGGTAATATAGGTGTTACAGTGTGATAATACAGTTAATTATGGACCCTGTTGGGCGCTGCAATTTAAAATATAAAATATAAGAGAGGAGGCTTTTTTAATTATTAGATTAATAGACTCATCTTATTTTATCATCTAGATATTCTTTTATAGTGTAATAACATTTTGTACTTAAAAGCTCTTTTAGTTCTTTTGAGAATTTGTTATCATTATTTTCTTTCAATAGATAATTGGGCAATTTATTATAAATCTTTATGGCCATATTATAAGTACTTGAAGAGGATAAATTTAGGCGGATGGTTGGTATCATTAACTTATTTTTATTTCTTAAATGGTATTGTGGACATGATTCTTCACGTTTTGTAAAAAACTCAAAGTGGGAACGGACAAAATTACAAATATTTAAAATATAAATACAAGGCAAGGGCAATATTTTGTACTTTTATACGCGAGTAGTTGCATGCTAGTCATTTTGACTTATTGACCTCTCTTTCTATTACATACTAGCTTTCCGCCCGCGGCTTCGCTCGCGTGGAATTTTGTCTGTTATTTTGAATAAATGTTTTTTTCATCCACAATGAGAAGCCTTACCCAACAGAGGAAATGGCTATCTTTTGTATTATATGGTTGCCTCCACATAGTCCACTGGAAATAAAAACTGAAATAATACATATTTTGATATCACATTATAATCAAGCATGTGATGATATTTCATAGATGATTTCACAGTACACATCACTATGTTATTTTTGTTTCATTTTAAGAAAAAATAAATCGTTTAGTTTCGTGGGTTATTATGACAATTTTAGCTAATTATAAAATTTTAACTGATAAGGCCGAAGTGTGAACTATTCATGATATTTATTTATGTAATATATAGCAAAAATTTTACCATTTTCAATTAATTTTGCTTTCGTTTATGGAAAATAATATTTTGAAATAAATGTAAAATGAGATGAAACAAAACGTTGACAACGACATTTATTTTCAAAAATTGTTTTGAAATGGTAAACAAAGAACACATTTTTTAGTGTTTTCAATATTTTTTGGAGATAAAAGTGTTAATCGTATTCTTTACATCATGGAGAATTCGTTTTTCGAGTATCGTGATAAAACTGAAATGGACAGTGATTCAGATTCCGAAATTATTGACAATAGTTTGGTTGTAGCCCAACCTTTCTCATCAGCAAAAACACCTAACTCTAAGAATAGGACTGTATTTGTAGCAGAATCCGAAGAATCTACTTCAGATGGTATGTTATTAATTTATTACTAAAGCTTAAAAGTTATTAAAGAGAGACAAACAATCTCATTAAGGGTGTAAACATTTCAAGTGTTTTATTCACTTTCATGCACATTGTTGTAGAAACAGACCAAGAAGATAATGAACCGTTATCTAAACTGAAGTCCGTGGTCGAAAGAAGCAGTGTTCAAAACCAGCATGTAGTTTTAAGCAGCGATGATGGTTAGTATTATTCTTTCTTACAAATAGAGGGGAATCCACTGTTCATTTCTGATTTGTTTCATGTTTCTACTTACTCTTATCAGGAGAATGTTATTCTACAGGGAAAAATACCCTTTCAGGAACTGTACTAACTTTTCAACATATACTTATTAGAATATTTCTATGTGTGAAGTAAATAAGATTTTATGTTATTGTATTTGTATTTTAGATGGTAGCAATAGAGGTAGCATTAGAAGGCAGTCTCCATCATCACCAAACAAAGTAGTTCTTAGCTCATCAGATGAAGAAGAAGGTGAGTGGTGTACAGATGAGAACAGCATGTCAACTTAAACACTGTCTTATTTGGTTGTAATAGATTCTATTTTACAGCTACAAAAATGTCTATGACTTGTGCTGTTGTCCGTACATGCACACTATTGCACACAGGAATATACCCTGAAAATAATGTAAAACTACAAAGCATGCAGTTAAAAGGAGTTTTGAACTCCCATAATATTATACATAATTGCAAACTTTATTCAAACTTTGAACTATTTCTATTTCCAACCTAAGTTCAAATTCTTCATATTGTTTACCAACAGAGGAAGTATCCCCAGAGCTGGTGCCAAGACGTCGGCCTCCGATGAGGCCCAAGTCCATCGACTCAAATTCCGACTCATTCATCGGACGCTTCAAATCAAAGAAACGTATGATCCTCATGGATTCTGACACTGAAAATTCTATAGTTATAGAACACGACAAAAACAGAAAAGTTAAATGTTTAAAAGACACACCGCTAAAAATTGATAGTGGTAAAAAAGTTGCTATTGCAAAAAGTGATGACAATATGAGCGGGGATGATGAGAGTGATGAAGCTAGTACTGAGGACGATGAAGACAATGATGAGGACGAAAATGGCGATGATGATGATGATGATGACGGGCCTGACGAGGATCAGATGGTGATGTCCCGAGCGACGCGGATGAGTATCATGGGCGTCGCACCGAAGAATGGTGACAGTGATGATGAATCTGACTTTATACAGTCTGATGATGTGAGTATATGTAGAAAATCTTTTATACTTTAAATAATTTTCTTTCTCATGTGTTTAAAACTGTTTGATTATTATTATGTTTAAATTAAAAGGCGTTGTAGATGGCCGTGCGAGCTAGGGTTGCGATTTCGTCGCGCGATAAAAATATTCGTTTAATTGATCATTTAAAAGTGATTTCGTCGCGCGACGGAATCGCATCGTTTGGTCGTGCGATCGGTTGCGAAATACGACGACACCATTTCATACCTATATTTTTCATTATTATTTTAGAGCAAACCAAATTCTCGTGTCGGTTCCGCGTGTAGTTTCAACGATTTGCCTGACGTCAGTACGTGTATACGAAAATCTCAGAAAACGGACCAAAAAGAAAATAAACATGACGAAGAAGAAAATTGCTCCGAAGCAGAGCAAGACACGTCTAGGCTTACTTGTTCCCCATTCACTAGTCCATTGAAGGATATCACCAACGATGGAAATAAGAATACAAACAGCCAAAACATTTCTATAATAGATTTGGACTTGAAAGAAAATGACTCTCAAGAACTGAAAAATAAGGTCTTAAGTAACTTGGTGCAAGAGCATTCGTACAACAAGAATGCTCCTGATGATGATGATGATGTCACTATCATTGATAGCAAGCCGGAAATTATAGCGCTGAGCAGTGATGACGAGGAGGATGTAAGTAGCTTTTGATTTATACTTCTTTATTTTTCATAAGCATCGTGTTTAAACAGAAACAGCCTTAGACTAGGCGCAGACCACCGATTTTTAGTTGGCCGATAGTCGTGCCTGATTTTAAATTGTATGAAGAATCGGCCAAACCGAATCGACGTAATGTGCGCACTTCCATACATGCCCATACTGATCAACTGCCCGACTAAACTATCGGCCGACTAAAAATCGATGGTCTGCGCCTAGGCTTAGAGCGTAAGGCCTCAGCCTCGAACTTAGCGGGCAGCGGCGCGGGAGCGGCGGCGGGGCGGGAGCGGCAGGATCTTATGCGTAAAATCAAATAGACCGGTTCTCGAAAACAGCGGCGCGGCAGCGGCGCCGGAGCGGGCAACGAGCGGGCAGCGGCGAGGGAGCGGGCAGCGCACTCCTTCTTTTGCCCACAATAAATCGAGCGTTAGGAATAAATTTGAATCGAAATAAAATTGTCGCCGTTGTTCAGACATTTCGTTTGCGAATAAAAACAAATATCTCGACAACACAACCCCGAACACAACACTTCGCCGCTAAAGCGCCGCGCGAGCTGCCCGCTTGTTTCGAGAACGGGTCTGCGTTGCCCGCCCCGCTCCCGCGCCGCCGCCGCTCCCGCCCCGCTGCCCGCTAAGTTCGAGGCTGAGGCCTAAGTAAAGCCGGGTCTCCAGCGCAGCGCGTGTTTTGCGCTACACAATCAACAAAAAAATGTTAAATTTGTAGGCAATTTTGTTGAATGTTTTTGTTTATTGTGTAGGGCAAAACACATGCTGGAGATTCGGCTTAGTTGCCAGTTTTCCACTCCTTTCTGTAAATGTACTGCCCATATTTTATTAAGGATAATTTCTATACGACTGCCTACTAACAAACGAAAATCTAAAACTCTAATTTCATTGATTTTTTTTTCTTAAACGTAAGGTGTAAAGTTTTTTAATAATGAACAACTGAACTATTGTGACTATGCCTTAAGTATTCAATCAGATTTTATAAAAAAATATGAGGGTAGATAGTAAAAACCAAATAACGAACGAAAGAAATATCAGTGTTGTGTGGTTGACTGTGTATTTATCGAAATTTGATTAATTTGGTGTCGTTTTGTTTTATCAGTGTAAATTAAATTACTTATTTGCATGAAGTGAAGTTTAAATTAAAAATGCCGAGAGGTTCCCGGAGCCCGAAAGCCGACGTTTCGGTAAAACTGTTTATACATTAACCTGGAACTTTATTTATTTAGTTTATTTTTTATTTTTCTTTATTCAGAAAACCACAGCTCTTTATAATAATAATACAAACAGGTATTTTTGTTCTTACAGCCAATAATGGATTCTATATATTATTACAATCTCTTTGCCTTATCTCATAGTTATTTTGTATTTAAAAATACATATTTTAATTGAAAGGTATTTTATCTAGTCCATCAAACCCCAAGCGGTCGTATAAGACCGCGTAACGTAACATTTTTATTGATTTCTATTGTATCTCGATTCGCGGGGTTTGAAGGGTGATTTCCTTTCGGATTAAATAGTTTCATCTAGTAAATATAGAGGTAAAATGCGTAGATATGTGTATTTTTCGTAAATGGTATCTTACCTTCTTTCGTATTTTAGCATTGTTTATGAAAAATAAATAATTATCGGCTCATGGGTTTTTATCACATACAAACAAAAATAAAAAAACATTAGTGAGTCGTCTAGTTTCAAAACCCGCTAAAACGCTCCTGCAACTAATTTCTGTTTATATCTCTAAATGATGCTACTGCATTACCTTCTTTCGTATTTTAGCATTGTTTATGAAAAATAAATAATTATCGGCTCATGGGTTTTCATCACATACAAACAAAAATAAAAAAACATTAGTATGTGCCCGCGATTTCGTATGCATGGTTGTTTTTAATAAAAACCTATAAACAAATCCAACCATCGCTCAGGTGACGACGGAAAAAAAGTCGCCGACCCTCAAAAAGTCGCCCAGCATCAAGAAGTCGCCCAAAGCGAAAGACGAAGACACCTCAAGCCAGAGCCGCAATGGGAACCCCTCAATCAAGCAGTTCTTGGCGCCACCCAGCTATCCAAACCAGGTGGTGTACGTCAAGAAGCACGTTCGGGAAAACGAGCTCAGCAAGCTTAACAGCTTGAAGGAGGACCTGCACAACATCAGGGTAAGTGCCTTCGTTCGTTTCAGCCAAATTTCGTCCACTGCTGGACAAAGGCCTCCCCCCAAGTATTTCCATAGCAATGGCCAACATTTCTACGAGCTAGGGTATGTCAACATCATCATTTCAGCCACAGCACGTCCACTGCTGGACAAAGGCCTCCTCCAAGAATTTCCATAACGAGCGGTCCTGAGCTGCCCGTATCCAGGTTTTCCCGCGACCTTCACCAGATCGTCGGTTCACCTAGTGGGGGCCTGCCCACGCTACTTCTTCTGGCCCGTGGTCGCCACTCGAGAACTTTTCTTTCCCAACGGCCATCATCTTTACGAGCTAGGGTATGTCATCATCATCATTTCAGCCACAGGACGTCCACTCTAAACATAGGCCTCCCCCAATGATTTCCATATTGAACGGTTGGTAGCGGCCTGCATCCAGCGCCTTCCTGCTACCCTTATGAGGTCGTCGGTCCACCTTATGAGTGGACTTCCCATATTGCGCTCTAAGTAGATTCCATTCCAGAACCTTGCTGCCCAATCGGCAGTCAGTTTCAGTCGGATTTGGCTGACACTCCTCACGCTGACCTGACAGGTTTGGGAAATTGACCAATACCTGTGTGAAAATGATTTTTTAAATGTATTTAACTGTAAGATAATAAGCGTATATTTCCCGTAGAATCTGCTGGAAAACATGGACGTCAGCACATTACCGGACGGTGGCGTCCGGCTCATAGAAAGATTGTCCGCGCTGGAGGGAGAGGTTCGCCGTCAGGGGGACAAGGTGGCCAATATGCTGGTCGAGCCAGGTTTGCAACTAATTAATCATCATCATCATCATCGGGTCATTTAGTCTCCACTGCAGGAGTGCAGGAGCATAGACATACTAACATGACCATCAAGCCAGATTCGTATTTTTTTTATTAATCATCTTCATTATCAACCTTTTCGTTCAACTACCTTTCACGGACTCGTACATCTGGACCGTCCTCCGTCTTTCGTCTTACAAAAGTGATACATATTCTAAAGCTATGATTCTCAATCCTCATTCATTCCATAGACCAATCATTCCTTCAGCCGCCCTCATGAACTTTAATAGATAGACAACGGAATTTTTCACAGAATAAGTTTGTACTAGTATTTGTAGACATAGACTAATTAATTTGCTGTTTCAGACCAGCCTACGGCCGAGGAGATCGCCCGGGATGGGTTCGACAAGGGCCTATCATGGGACGACATCCAAAAGGCCAGCAACGCCGTGCAACCGCGCATGTTCGGCAAACAGGGTGAGTGAGAGAATCTTTACTCGTTTTATTTCTTTCCTCTAGAATAGTTCTCTTTCTCGTTGGATTATTTTTGTTATAAGAACGGGCTTTTGCCGCAGCTTCATCCCTGTGAAAATAGTATTTATGACAGTTTGTCCGCGGGTACCATTTTAAATGACTTTCTTTGCATGGTAGATGTACAGAGGTAAAGCTGTATCTCTAGTTCCACCAACCCGAATGTGAAAAAACATGGCTTAGATGTCAAAGAAATGTATACTCTAATGTACAGGATGTTTAATTTGGTCTTTTTTACTTTGATCATCTGGATTAGATCATCCAAGTGATCAAAGTAGACTAGGCGACACTTTGGTGTCCTTTGATCACCTATGGATAACTTCACCTAGGTGATCAAAGTGGACTTCTTATCAATGGGTGATCAAAGGACACTAGTGTTGGCTGGACTCAACTTTGATCACCTAGGTGATCAAAGTCGAATTTGAGTATTAGAACATTTAGAACCACTACTTTCGGATCGTACAGTGTTTTTATTCCAACGTTCCGAACTGAAAGTTAATCATTTCCATATCCAGCCATGGCGACCCACATGGCGGAGCGCAACTTAATCCTGGACCGCCTGCGTATCTTACACGAGTCGCTGGCCACGCGGCCGCCGGAGCAGGCGCAGGCCTCCGCCCCCGCCGCGCTGCGCTCCAGCCTCATGCCGCACCAGCGCCACGCGCTCGCCTGGCTGCGCTGGCGGGAGACGCAGCGCCCCTACGGCGGGATCCTGGGTGAGTCCATCCTACACGAGGCGCTCCAGCCTCATGCCGCACCAGCGCCACGCGCTCGCCTGGCTGCGCTGGCGGGAGACGCAGCGCCCCTACGGCGGGATCCTGGGTGAGTCCATCCTACACGAGGCGCTCCAGCCTCATGCCGCACCAGCGCCACGCGCTCGCCTGGCTGCGCTGGCGGGAGACGCAGCGCCCCTACGGCGGGATCCTGGGTGAGTCCATCCTACACGAGGCGCTCCAGCCTCATGCCGCACCAGCGCCACGCGCTCGCCTGGCTGCGCTGGCGGGAGACGCAGCGCCCCTACGGCGGGATCCTGGGTGAGTCCATCCTACACGAGGCGCTCCAGCCTCATGCCGCACCAGCGCCACGCGCTCGCCTGGCTGCGCTGGCGGGAGACGCAGCGCCCCTACGGCGGGATCCTGGGTGAGTCCATCCTACACGAGGCGCTCCAGCCTCATGCCGCACCAGCGCCACGCGCTCGCCTGGCTGCGCTGGCGGGAGACGCAGCGCCCCTACGGCGGGATCCTGGGTGAGTCCATCCTACACGAGGCGCTCCAGCCTCATGCCGCACCAGCGCCACGCGCTCGCCTGGCTGCGCTGGCGGGAGACGCAGCGCCCCTACGGCGGGATCCTGGGTGAGTCCATCCTACACGAGGCGCTCCAGCCTCATGCCGCACCAGCGCCACGCGCTCGCCTGGCTGCGCTGGCGGGAGACGCAGCGCCCCTACGGCGGGATCCTGGGTGAGTCCATCCTACACGAGGCGCTCCAGCCTCATGCCGCACCAGCGCCACGCGCTCGCCTGGCTGCGCTGGCGGGAGACGCAGCGCCCCTACGGCGGGATCCTGGGTGAGTCCATCCTACACGAGGCGCTCCAGCCTCATGCCGCACCAGCGCCACGCGCTCGCCTGGCTGCGCTGGCGGGAGACGCAGCGCCCCTACGGCGGGATCCTGGGTGAGTAGAAGTTGAAGAAGAGAAGCCAGCTACCCCCACCCCCCTCCTCCCAGAAACAGTACGCCTTCACTGCACCAGGAGGAGGCCATGGATAAACCTAAGGGAAAGGGGAGGACAGCTGCTCGCCCTAAATGAAGAGGCGGATAATCCTCAGGAGGTGGGAAACCTTCTGAAAATTGACCGCCTCTTTATCATCTATCATAAGTTTCGTCCCCAAGTGTCCCCAATCTAATCTCCCTTGACCTAGCCACAGAAGGGATTATTATCAATATCATTTCAATTTCTACCAATTACAACCCATTTACCGAAGAATTAGGAGGCCTGATGCCTTTTTCAACTTCCACGGAAAAATGGGATCCACTCTACCAAAACCTTAACCTTTACAGCAAATATGACACTTATACATGGCAACTCCGTCAGTTTACAATATAACGTGTGAGATTGTAAACTAACAGTGGGTTGTAATCTGACGGAATTCACAATTTTACCTTGTCATACATAAACGAAGTGAATGCGTTTGTCCGCAGCCGACGACATGGGTCTGGGCAAGACGATCACGATGATCTCGCTGATCCTCACCGACAAGGAGGCGAGCATCGACGACGACGACGACGACGAGGAAGCAAAGGGCAAAAACAAAAGTAAGTCGCTTTGACATAGCTGAGAATTTTTCCACTATTTTTAGAAATTCTGTCTATTTGTCACGTTTTTATTTCATAAGTTTTGGTGTATTTTCGTACCTTACGAAATGTCTCAAGTTTTAAGATACCTTTTTGTCGCAAAAAAAATTCGTTCAGAGATATGACGTCAATTTTTATAAATTGTGAAACCACCGCTGAATGAGCCAGTTCAATGACTCACAAATGAGGGCGCCAGGTTTAGCGAGTTTTCTGTGGACATCATAAGAGATCACTCGCTCACTGATTCTATTTTTTTTTCCGTTCACTCTTTACTGCTCAAACTCATCTAGAGAGCCTTGCCCTGCGTGCCCAAACAACTGCACGCAGGAAGATTTAATGAAGGCTACTGACAACGCCATTCTTGTGGCGGAGTTTTGGGCTGACGCTGTGTAGGTTTGTTGTCGACGACAAGAAGGAGAAACTCATCTGAAACTGTCGTGGTGGAAAGCAAAACTATCTTACTCAGTTTCAGTCATTCCTCTTCTACCATTTAAGGATGAACTCCCTAATGCTATGTCGACACTTGCCTCCGACAGTGACGCGCGGCGGCACTTTAGTAGTGTGCCCGGCGTCTCTCATGCAGCAGTGGGCGGGTGAAGTGACGTCACACTGCACGCCACATGCGCTGTCGGTATGCTTACATCACGGAGCCGCCCGCGCTGCCCAGCCGCACCGCCTGGCTGCTAGCGACCTCGTCGTCACTACGTATAATATCCTGCAGCGAGACGCCGAGAAGGTATGTTAGCTTCCGTTGCCATAGTGACATGACGATGCAACATTTAGCGGGTGAGATGACGTCACACTGCGAGACGCGCAGCCGCACCGCTTGGCTGCTAGCGACCTCGTCGTCACCACGTATAATATCCTGCAGCGGGATGCCGAGAAGGTACCTATGTAATCTTGACTCCATTGCTACATAGTGATGGTGTAGCAGAGAGTATGCGAGATGACGTCACAGCACAAGACGCGCGTCTTGCTGCCAGCGACCTCGTCGTCACCACGTATAACATCCTGCAGCGAGATGCCGAGAAGGTAGGTAATCTTGACTCCATTGCCATAGTGACGTAACGATGCAGCATTAAGTGGTTGAGATGACGTCACATTGCGCGCCGCGCGAGGTATCGCCTGACCGCCAGCGACAGACGTGACCCCACATTCACCACGTGTAAAGCCTGGTCCATGAGCACGTAGAATCCCGTCCAATGACCCCAAGCTACCCATCCTTATCGCTCGCGCGTAATTATATTGCTGTCGCAACTGTGCGACGCGCGCCCGCAGTGAGTGTGCGAGCGCGACAGCAACATAATTACGTGCGAGCGACAAGGATGGGCAGCTTGGGGTCATTGGAGGGGATTCTACGTGCTCACGGACCAGGCTTTAATATCATGCAGCGCGAGATGTGCTAAGGGATACTACACGTACTTCCCTGTCACGGGACTATTCCCACCTCTCGTTCCCACCACTGCAACTCCTGTGTAGCCAGTATCTTACAGCTTGACCGCCATAAAAACCCAACCAATGAAGGTCAAGTTTGTCCCGGGGGAAAGTTAAACTGTCTTTGGACGAAATTAATCAGAAGAACATAGGAGGAGTTCGAAATTAAGGTTCGACTTCCCTCCATTGCAAAGCGGATGATGATGACACTTCCGTCTCAGTCGCCTACCCGTACTAATTTTTTTTTTTTCTGAACTACTTGTCGTCCGAAGGTGGTCGTCTCGCCTGCGCTGAGCGCAAAGGGGTAAAAAAGTTCTGTTACTTGATAAAAAAAACGTTACGTTGGTGCCGCGCGGACGTGACGCCAGCGCTGGCAAGACGGCGACGCTTGAAAGACACTAATGTTGGGGTGCCTTAATATGGCGCCTGCGATATTTATTTATTTATTTATTAGGTCTACCAAGATTGTAACATTACAACATGTACATGTATAACATGTATAAGACTTAAATCTACAATTTTCGCAGAACGGGGTCCTGATGCGCGTACGCTGGCGGCGCGTGATCCTAGACGAGGCGCACATCGTCCGCAACCACAAGGCCGCCACGTCTTTGGCCGTCAGCGCGCTGCCCGGCCGCCGCCGCTGGTGCCTCACGGGCACCCCCGTGCAGAACAAGGACCTGGACCTCTTCGCGCTCATGAAGTTCCTGCGCGTCACGCCCTTCGACGACCTCGCCGTGAGTACCGCAGGCCGCGTGACGTCACGCTGCCCGGCCGCCGCCGCTGGTGCCTCACGGGCACCCCCGTGTAGAACACCTCATCTGGCCAAGAGTAGAAAAGGAAAAGGAAGCAGGTGCTGTCTATGATGAAGCGAGTTTCCCCACGAGATGCCTATGCCATTTTGAAGATCTTGGGTACACTGTTTTCTCCAATAAAAGAAGAACGGTCATTTGTGACCCAGGCCCGACAGTAACGAGACATACCTCAGTTTTTTTGTCATGTCTTAATTAGTTAAATTATATATTTTTTATATTCGAAATCTATGTATAACACCAAAATATTACCCTTTGTTTTTGTTCAGGCGTTATACAAAAACTAATACAAAATGCCTATTTATCACCAAAATTGGTAAATGTATGTACCTAAATGTCTATTACAGCTGCTATGGAATGTATCTAGGTGAACTGGAGATACAGCCGGATTATACAGGGTGGAAACGAGAAGTTACAAAATCCAAAAATTCAATGTTACCAGCTTCCATAATCTGTAACCTATTATTGGTACCATTTGAAAGAGCTCGTGAAGCACTTTTAGAATCAGTAACTATTTTTTCGATATCTTGTATAATTTAGAAATAATCGAGTGAGAACACTTATCGTTCCATATGTATATCCACCCTGTATAATCCGGCTGTATCTCCAGGTCACCTAGATACATTCCATAGCAGCTGTAATAGACATTTAGGTACATACATTTACCAGTTTTGGTGATAAATAGGCATTTTGTATTAGTTTTTGTATAGCGCCTGAACAAAAACAAAGGGTAATATTTTGGTGTTATACATAGATTTCGAATATAAAAAATATATAATTTAACTAATTAAGACATGACAAAAAAACTGAGATATGTCTCGTTTCTGTCGGGTCTGGGTTTTTTTTGTATGGGGCGTGACCGTTCTTCTTTGATGATTTTCATATGACACTTCGGAAAAGAGCAGCCGTGATGCTAAGCCGTGGTGGTTGAATATCTGCCACCTTTTCAATTTGTTGTTTTTTTTGCTAATTATTCTTGTACCTATCTCTTTGTTGCATAAACTTGTGTATCTGAATTTGATTAAACTGTGTTAAAATTCGAGTAAATTGTATATTCTGCCCACCAGATGTGGAAAAAGTGGATCGACAACAAAAGCCAAGGCGGGCAGGAGCGTCTCAGCACGATCATGCGGTGCATCCTGCTGCGACGCACCAAGCAGCAGCTGCAGGACGCCGGCCAGCTGGCCTGCCTGCCGCCGCGCTCCGCCCACCAGCGGCCCGTCACGCTGGCGCCGCAGGAGATGCAGGTCTACCAGAAGGTAGGCAGGACACGCAGGACTACCAGGAGACAGGCAGCAGGGCAGGACTACCAGGAGGTAGGCAGGACACGCAGGACTACCAGGAGACAGGCAGCAGGGCAGGACTACCAGGAGGTAGGCAGGACACGCAGGACTACCAGGAGACAGGCAGCAGGGCAGGACTACCAGGAGGTAGGCAGGACACGCAGGACTACCAGGAGACAGGCAGCAGGGCAGGACTACCAGGAGGTAGGCAGGACACGCAGGACTACCAGGAGACAGGCAGCAGGGCAGGACGCCGGCCAGCTGGCCTGCCTGCCGCCGCGCTCCGCCCACCAGCGGCCCGTCACGCTGGCGCCGCAGGAGATGCAGGTCTACCAGAAGGTAGGCAGGACACGCAGGACTACCAGAAGGTAGGCAGGAGATGCAGGACTACCAGAAGGTAGGCAGGAGATGCAGGACTACCAGGAGACAGGCAGGAGAGCAGGACTACCAGGAGGTAGGCAGGACACGCAGGACTACCAGGAGACAGGCAGCAGGGCAGGACTACCAGGAGGTAGGCAGGACACGCAGGACTACCAGGAGACAGGCAGCAGGGCAGGACTACCAGGAGGTAGGCAGGACACGCAGGACTACCAGGAGACAGGCAGCAGGGCAGGACTACCAGGAGGTAGGCAGGACACGCAGGACTACCAGGAGACAGGCAGCAGGGCAGGACTACCAGGAGGTAGGCAGGACACGCAGGACTACCAGGAGACAGGCAGCAGGGCAGGACTACCAGGAGGTAGGCAGGACACGCAGGACTACCAGGAGACAGGCAGCAGGGCAGGACTACCAGGAGGTAGGCAGGACACGCAGGACTACCAGGAGACAGGCAGCAGGGCAGGACTACCAGGAGGTAGGCAGGACACGCAGGACTACCAGGAGACAGGCAGCAGGGCAGGACTACCAGGAGGTAGGCAGGACACGCAGGACTACCAGGAGACAGGCAGCAGGGCAGGACTACCAGGAGGTAGGCAGGACACGCAGGACTACCAGGAGACAGGCAGCAGGGCAGGACTACCAGGAGGTAGGCAGGACACGCAGGACTACCAGGAGACAGGCAGCAGGGCAGGACTACCAGGAGGTAGGCAGGACACGCAGGACTACCAGGAGACAGGCAGCAGGGCAGGACTACCAGGAGGTAGGCAGGACACGCAGGACTACCAGGAGACAGGCAGCAGGGCAGGACTACCAGGAGGTAGGCAGGACACGCAGGACTACCAGGAGACAGGCAGCAGGGCAGGACTACCAGGAGGTAGGCAGGACACGCAGGACTACCAGGAGACAGGCAGCAGGGCAGGACTACCAGGAGGTAGGCAGGACACGCAGGACTACCAGGAGACAGGCAGCAGGGCAGGACTACCAGGAGGTAGGCAGGACACGCAGGACTACCAGGAGGTAGGCAGGACACGCAGGACTACCAGGAGACAGGCAGCAGGGCAGGACTACCAGGAGGTAGGCAGGACACGCAGGACTACCAGGAGACAGGCAGCAGGGCAGGACTACCAGGAGGTAGGCAGGACACGCAGGACTACCAGGAGACAGGCAGCAGGGCATTAGATGCAGGTCTACGAAAAAGTGGGTGGGGCAGCAGGGCAGGATTAGTAAATCCCAATTTGTGACTAACATGGCAGTTGCAATATGAGGAGATCCATCAGACTTTGAAACTTATCTGTTTACAGTCTATTTCTTCTCAGTTATCGTCACGAGTGTGGATAGTTGTGGGCGGATGCTGCTTGCCTTAAGCGAGGTTCAGGCTAGCAATAAAACTTGCAGAAGTTGACTACAGCAAGATGTCACCACTATGTATTAATTTTGCAGAAGTTGGCTTGCCACAGCTATTTACAGTGGTAAACAGCTTGCGGAAGTCAACTTCTGCAAGTTTTATTGCTAGTCTAAAGAGTCTATACCTCGCATTACGATGTCTCGCCATCTTTGCCTATAGGTGCTTGGTTTGGTGGCGTACAGTCCACAAACACTGAAAATTTTAGACCTTACTACAGCTGTTAAGAGATATCTCCGTCCCCAGGTGCTGGTGTTCTCCAAGACGCTGTTCGCTCAGTTCCTGCACCAACGCGCGGAGAAGCAGGCGGACGCGGGCGGCTTCGTGCCGCCGGAGAAGGACTCCGCCTACGCCGCCATGCACAAGAAGATGATCGCGCTGCAAGGTATGACGAGGGATCAGTACCAGGGCCCCCAAGTGGCTAATTTGTAATGTCTCTAATTCAATTGCGTTTCATCTCCAGTCGCGCGCGACTTGCGCTCCATTCTCATTCCAGCTGATGAGCAATTCGGTATCTCGGTAAAGTTTCCGTGCTAACAAAGACGAAACAACAGATTTATGCACTTTCCATTAAAAGTCCGAAAACCTTATTTTTGTAACTAAAATTACTAAAACAGCAAATTTTCGTGATGCATTTGACTTGCGTTTCAGAAAGGTACTTTACCTTTCTGTCAGCTTTTACGTAAAGGCGCAGTTGCGCTCCGTTTACGTTACAACATCGTTTGAACTAGCTGTCAAAACGACATCGCGATACGGATTTGTTAAAGCTGATATTCGTTCATCGTTCGGTCGCATTGAAGTTGAAAATTTTTATCGCAACCGGGACACAGTTTCTACCTTCGCAATGGACGCCGCTCAGTGCATATTGCTACGTCTGAAACATCTGCTGAAAGCACTAGATGATATAGAACAGATGTATATCAAATCAAATCATTTATTCAGTACTTAGGTCCTTTCCGGGGCTTTACCTTGACGTGTACATGCACGTCCCAAATATAGAAACATATGGGCTGGTCCTGAGAAGAAGTGGCGTAAGAAACTCAGTCACTTTTGTCAGCCTTTTTTGTCGCTTTGTCGTCAGTTCACATTATCAAAATTACTTGCCCTTTCAGGCGCAAAACCGGTCAAATCCCATGAAATTCTCGTACTCCTGCTGCGGCTGCGGCAAGTGTGCTGCCACTGCGGACTCATCGCGAGCATGCTCGACGCAGAGGGAGCGGCCAGCGACGACCCGGCCGGCGCCGACCTGCTGGCCGAGCTGGACAAGCTCACGCTCGACGACGCCCGGGCTGGCAGGGAGGTCAGTAGTGTGCCAAGTGTGTGCCATGCGGACTCATCGCGAGCATGCTCGACGCAGAGGGAGCGGCCAGCGACGACCCGGCCGGCGCCGACCTGCTGGCCGAGCTGGACAAGCTCACGCTCGATGACGCCCGGGCTGGCAGGGAGGTCAGTAGTAGGCATGGATCGTACTTGCTAAATCGAGGACCAAGGCGCCCTTGTACCTTAAAGTATAACAACCAGAGCCAAATACCAGGTATTTACATACTTTAAAGTAAAATACTTTGAAAGCATTTTGTTGAATATTGATCTCTAAAACTACTAGGCTAGGATTTAATTTTTTTTTTGAAAAAAAAAATACTTTGAAGGTTTCTAAGCGATTGTATTCCTTATTGTAAAGAAATAAGTCTAGTATTGGGACGTATTTATTTTCATACGGGGCCGAGACAAACTGAGTGCGTCTTGGCGTCGTAAGTAAAAACCCTTGAAGGTGTTGCGAGTATTTGGGGCTGGAAACTGGTTTACGCACTTGGAAGCTGAAACTTGGTTTTAAAACCTGGTCGCGTAAATACGCACCACCTCTAAAGCCTGGTCCGTGAGCACGTAGAATCCCGTCCAATGACCCCAAGCTACCCATCCTTATCGCTCGCGCGTAATTATATTGCTGTCGCGTCTGTGCGACGCGCGCCCACAGTGATTGTGGACGGACGGGATTCTACGTGCTCACGGACCAGGCTTTAGTCAGTAGTGCGCCAAGTGTGTGCCATGCGGACTCATCGCGAGCATGCTCGACGCAGAGGGAGCGGCCAGCGACGACCCGGCCGGCGCCGACCTGCTGGCCGAGCTGGACAAGCTCACGCTCGACGACGCGCGGGCTGGCAGGGAGGTCAGTACGGTTAACACCACAGAATAATAATAAGTACTACGTACAGAAGTTTTACTTCGCGAAGGTATTTAAAAAAATGTATGCTCAATGTCATTAACAATATGGTGTAATTTAGCTTGTCTCAAGAGTCAAGCAAGTTTGTCAGAAGTTTTGTTGACAAACGTCAGTGATCGGTACTGCGCCGAAGCTATAGGGCTGACTTCGGTAAAATGATGTGACGTGAGGTGCCAATCTGCAGAAAATGGCGGAGGAAATACATGATTTAGCATGAATTATCATGAATAATATCAACTACTTATTTACCTCTCAGTGTCTTGAGGCAACTTAAAAAAGTACATTCTGTGTTTTTATTATTATTTAGGCAGTTAAATACTGCACAGTATTTAGTACACCATTTTCTTTATTTTTTTCCATCATACACAAGAATACGCGTGCGTGAGTCAATGTTCGCTCGTATGTGAGGCCTTGTCGAATAGTACTCTTGTAGGGGGCAATCGTGCGTGTTTTGTTTTCGATGTAAACTCGCGGAGATGAACAGGCCTGTTAACACGACAAACTTTCGAGTTCAAATCGTTTGCGTACCTGAATCGCCATCAAAAGATTTAGTGAGAAAACTAAAGCCTGGTCCGTGAGCACGTAGAATTTTGTCCAAAGACCCCAAGCTACCCTCGCACTCGCACACTCACTGCGGGCGCCCGTCCCACAGTCGCGACAGCAATATAATTACGCGCGAGCGATAAGGATGGGTAGCTTGGGGTCATTGGACAAAATTCTACGTGCTCACGGACCAGGCTTTATAACAGCGCCCTTGTGAACGTGTCGTAAAGTGAACTTAGTATGCGATGTGGTTGCACGAAACTTATTTTGAGAATCAAAATTGTCACGACTCGACGACGTGCGGGCTGGCAGGGAGGTCAGTAGTGCGCCAAGTGTGTGCCATGCGGGCTCATCGCGAGCGTGCTGCAGCCGAGGCCGCGCCTGCTGGCCGAGCTGGACAAGCTCACGCTCGACGACGCCCGGGCTGGCAGGGAGGTCAGTAGTGTGCCAAGTGTGTGCCATGCGGGCTCAGGCGATTATCACACTGCGCCGCACTCCGTCGCGGTACGCGGGACGTCAGATTTAATCATTGTATGCAAGTACCTCAGTTTGTATAGAAAACACACGCGGCACAACACACTGGCAACGCATCTGCGCGCGGGACTTTTTATATGAAATCACGCGGACCGCGGCAGAGCGCGGCGCAGTGTGATAATCGCCTCATTGCGAGCACGCGGGCGGCTAAACGGTAGAGTGTATTAATCGTAATTTCATCCACGAAGACGCGCCCCACCATTCTTCCGCTAATGTTTGAGTGTTATCGGTACACGCTAAATTATCCATGAGTGCACACGCACACTACAATAATGACGCTCAGATTGCTAGGATCAAACCCCGCGTTTTCCACGACCAAAAATTTCAGAGGCGCGTGAAAATGCTACTATCGGAGTATTACAGTAAAACCTTTTGATAAACGATCAAGAGCAGTCTACGCATTTCATCGTCATTATATCCTAACTTTGATGCATGTTTTCTTCCAGAACCGAGACAACAAAGAGAATGAGGATGATGGTCCTGAAGAGAGCACGACCGTGGCCGAAGCCATCCGCTCGGTACTGGCGCCCAATAACCCGGTGTTTGACCTGGCGCGTCAGTCCTCCAAGATCAAGGCCGTCATGGACTGCCTCAGGGAAAACGTCTTCAAGAATAAAGGTAAATTACTGCCCCTGCACGAAATCATCTCGTTCAGCGCATGATATTGTTGAGTTATTACTCAATTTTAGGCCCGGTTTCCACCAAGACGGAGAAAGTAAGAAAGAAAAAATATTTATTTGACAAGTAATAAAAAAAGTGGAGAGGAGCGGAGTCGAGAGATGTGTTTTTCAGCTTCGGTGGAAATGAGAAGAGATGTGTCAGGTGGACTCATTTTTCTATAGAATTTGGCAGCGGTGGCCGCGCCATCATGTATCTCCCAGCACCTCGAATACCTGAAGACGTCACACGATTCGTAGATAGCAATAACAGCTTCATCACACATCTTCTCTCGTCTCCGCTTTGATGAAAACCGGGCCTTACGTGGGAATCAAAGCCCCAATCTCAAATGGAACGAGGTCTGTTCTCTTCTTACCTTGACCATGGATGTAAGGCCCGGTTTTCACCAAGGCAGAGCGGAGCAGAGATGTATTTGGAATAACCAATAAGATTTCATTATTTCCACTATTCTCCGCTCTGCGCCACGCCTCCGCCGCTGTCAAATTCTATAGACTTTGACAAGACAAATCGGGCCTAAGTTTCTTATATCTTTGAAGGCAAAGGCTCATCTTGTCGACTTCTTACGCCGAGAAATTAATTTACTTTGCGTGCGAATCGATCTACCAAGGAGATAAAAGCCAATTTTCCAACCTGACGGATACGACCTGCAAGCTTTCAAGAGGAGAGCGTATCTTCACCTTAAAGGCCGGCAACGCACCTGTAACGCCCCTGGGTCTGCGGGTGTCTATGGGCGACGGTAATCACTTACCATCAGGTGATACGTCTGCTCGTTTGCCTCCTGACACAAAAAAAAGAACCTAATAGTTATTTTCTGTCACCCAGATGAGAAAGCAGTAGTGGTGTCGCAGTGGACGTCAGTCCTTCGCCTGGTGGAGCAAGAACTCAAGCGCATGAAGATCCGCAGCGTGACTCTGAGCGGGAACGTGCCCGTGGGCGCGCGCCCGCCGCTCATCGCCGCGCTCAACCAGCCCGGCTCCGGAGTGCAGGTCAGACAACTTGCCGGATTACCACTCAGGGCCGGATTTAGAGTCTTATTCCACTTATCCATGGGTGATCAAAGGACCGCGCCCGCCGCTCATCGCCGCGCTCAACCAGCCCGGCTCCGGAGTCCAGGTCAGACGCTGCCCCCTTACCACCACCCAGATTTGGGCTGCGTTTCCACCAGAGATGTGCGAGGATGCGTAGCGAGGGATGTGTTTGTAAATCAATAGAATCGCTTCATTTACCTCGCCTCGGTCAGCGGAGTTAGATTTTTGCGCATACAAAACAAACGAAAAATGTTTACGAGGGATGTGTTGCGACTGTTGCGAGGTTTCCGCATACTGTACCAGTCAGTCCATAGACGGAATTCGTTGGAAGTAGAAGGAACTGCATCTTCGCACCATACAATTTTCACTAGCGGAGCTGTGACATCTTCGTACGACACATTTTCCTCGCACAGCGTTGGTGGAAACCCCCAAACATTTTCACAGCACAGCTAGACATCCTCGCACGATACATTGCCATCGCACATCTCTGGTGGAACGCAGCCTTAGGGTCTATTCTACTTATCCTTGGGTGATCAAAGGACACCACAGCTCAAGCGCATGAAGATCCGCAGCGTGACTCTGAGCGGAAACGTGCCTGTCGGCGCGCGCCCGCCGCTCATCGCCGCGCTCAACCAGCCCGGCTCCGGAGTCCAGGTCAGACGCTGCTCTATTACCAACCAGGGCCGCATTTAGGGTCTATATTATTCCACCTATCCATGGGCCATGGGTGATCAAAGGACACCAAAGCTCACGCGCATGAAGGTCGTAGGCGCGCGCCCGCCGCTCATCGCCGCGCTCAACCAGCCCGGCTCCGGAGTCCAGATACACACTATGTACTGGATGTTCACACTATGTACTGGATGTACACACTATGTACTGGATGGGATTTTTTTTTCCAACGAGTAACCCTGTTACTGACTGCACTGTTAGTGAGCTGCCACACTGGCGGATTACAAGCGGATTCAAAGCGGAGCGGTGACTCGTTGGGATAAAACATTTTAAAGAGATGTCCCATCGAGTAGGGGTGTGACTGGATGGGATTTTTTTTCTGTAACCCTGTTACTCGTTTGGGTGTGACTCGTTGGAAACAAGCGATGCCGGATTACCACCTAGGGCTGGATTTAGTCTATTCCACGCATCCATGGGTGATCAAAGGACACCAAAGCTCACGCGCATGAAGGTCGTAGGCGTGCGCCCGCCGCTCATCGCCGCGCTCAACCAGCCCGGCTCCGGAGTCCAGGTCAGACAACATTATTTATTTCTTATTTTATTTATTAGGACAACCAACAAGACATGCATACATGAAATTACTATAACTAAAAGTGCTTAGAACTAAGTGTTGTTTTAATTAAAGGCTGCCACGGCATGCAATGTGGACAGTTGCGAATTTAAAAACTAACCAATAGAAAAACAGTGACTATTTAGGTATTTGCTGCCGCTCTGTAACACAGCGCGCCTAAATTTCAATGGCTTATAACAAAAAAATGTCAACGTCACATGCTTTGCACAGTCTGTTGTACTCCCTCTGCAGTCTGCTCATGGTGACGTGGTAACCCAGATTGGTTTTACTAAACTTTGTTGCGAAGGGGACATACTTGCTGGAACGTGGAAGCTTAAGCGGTACATTAAAATTAATTGAGCTCAATAGTGAGGGACAATCGACGGATTGCCGCAACTTGCTGGATTGGTGGTAATCCAGCAAACTCAGGGCCGCACTTAGGGTCTATTCCACTTATCCATGGGTGATCAAAGGACAGCTCACGCGCATGAAGATCCGCAGCGTGACTGAGCGGGAACGTGCCCGTGGGCGCGCGCCCGCCGCTCATCGCCGCGCTCAACCAGCCCGGCTCCGGAGTCCAGGTCAGACAACATTTCTTTTTTTTTATCCACAACGAGGAAGCTCTTTGTATTTGCACACTTGCATGCAGGTTGAATACTTGTACTAACATTTTTTGTAAGAAATTTATAACCTGTATTCTGGCAAATAAACGCTTCTTATCTTATCTTGGCCTGTATCTCACCTGATGGTAAGTGACGATCAGGCCTAAGGTGGAAGCGAGCTTCATCCGGAATCCTCAACCACGGAGGAACTGGCTATCTTACCTCTAACTACCGGAACACAACAATGCTGTTAACATTGTTGTTATGGCGACAGACTTAGGTAAGACGGTGGTAGCTAGCCAGGTGGACTTAGAACAAGCCCTACCACCAACTTAAACCGAACAGAAAAATCTGCCCCCACTGGGAATCGAACCCGGGACCTCTGCGTCTGAAGCAGGTGGTGTTACCACTAGACCACAGAGGCGGTGGTGGAACATGCCGGATTACCACCACTCAGGGCCGCACTTAGAGTCTATTCCACTTATCCATGGGTGATCAAAAGACACCAGAGCTCAAGCGCATGAAGATCCGCAGCGTGACTCTGAGCGGGCTCCGGAGTGCAGGTACACACTATGTACTAGATGTACACACTATGTACTGGATGTTCACACTATGTACTGGATGTACACACTATGTACTGGATGTTCACACTATGTACTGGATGTACACACTATGTACTGGATGTTCACACTATGTACTGGATGTACACACTATGTACTGGATGTACACACTATGTACTGGATGGGATTTTTTTTTCCAACGAGTAACCCTGTTACTGACTGCACTGTTAGTGAGCTGCCACACTGGCGGATTACAAGCTGTTTGAAAGCGGAGCGGCGACGGCAGTGTGCAGCAAACATTTTAAAGAGATGTCCCATCGAGTAGGGGTGTGACTGGATGGGATTTTTTTTCCGTAACCCTGTTACTCGTTTGGGGGTGACTCGTTGGGAACAAGCGATGCCGGATTACCACCCAGGGCCAAATTTAGGGTCTATTCCACTTATCCATGGGTGATCAAAGGACAGCTCACGCGCATGAAGATCCGCAGCGTGACTCTGAGCGGGAACGTGCGGATACAAATTGCTGCTTAGCAATTGGCGCCATTGTACAGTAAGGTCACTGTCACTTGCTAGTGGCGAAGACAGTGGTGCCAACTGGTGAGGATAGTGCAACTGTAGAGTAGGCTTCAACCTAATGCCGTCCACTGCTTGACAAAGGCTTCCCCACGAATTTCCACAACTATCCGATCAAGATTTTCTATTTGTTTTTGTGTACCTATGCTAGTACCACAACGTCACCTGTGCAAATAATATGTTATGCACAGGTAATGCTCCTATCTCTGCGTGCGGGCGGCGTAGGCTTGAACCTGTGTTTGATTTGTTTTTTTACCTGTGCTAGTACCAGAAAGTAACTTTTGCAAATGATAATTATGTTGTGCACAGGTAATGCTGCTATCTTTGTGCGCGGGTGGCATAGGATTGAACCTGTGTTTGATTTATTTGTGTACTTGTGCTGTTACCATAATGTAACCTGTGCAAATGATATGTTATGCACAGGTAATGCTGCTATCCTTGTGCGCGGGCGGCGTAGGCTTGAACCTGTTTCATTTGTTTTTGTTTGTGTACCTGTGCTGTTACCACAGCGTAACCTGTGCAACTAAATAAATTATCCCTGTCTTGTGCACAGGTAATGCTCCTATCGCTATGCGCTGGCGGCGTGGGCCTCAACCTGTGTTTGATTTGCCAGACTGTTACCAGACTGTAACCTGTGCAAATAAATTATTCCTGTCTTGTGCACAGGTAATGCTGCTATCTTTGTGCGCGGGCGGCATAGGCTTGAACCTGTATTTGATTTGTTTTTGTACCTGTGCACTTAGTTGTGTATTTAGTTGCACAGGTTACGTTGTGGTAACAACCACAACGAAACCTGTGCAACTAAATAAATTGTCCCTGTGTTTATGCACAGGTGATGCTCCTATCGCTGTGCGCTGGCGGCGTGGGCCTCAACCTGTGCGGCGCCAACCACCTGCTGTTATTGGACCCGCACTGGAACCCGCAACTGGAGCAGCAAGCGCAGGACCGCATCTACCGCGTGGGGCAGAAGAAACACGTGCACATATACAGGTGAGGAGACGTTAAATCCTGGTCCGTGAGCACGCAGAATTTTTTCCAATGACCCCAAGCTACCCATCCTTATCGCTCGCGCGTAATTATTTTGCTGTCGCGACTGTGCGACGCGCGCCCGCAGTGAGTGTGCGAGCGCGACAGCAACACAATTACGCGCTAGTATACGCATAATTAAATACTAGCTGGACAGTGGCGCACTAATGCCCGTTTTCACCGTCAGTCCCTAATTTTTAAGCGACCCCTATGAAAACAAAATTCCTGTTATATGTTACCATAGGGGCACTTAAAAAATTAGGGACTGATGGTGAAAACGAGCATAAGCCAGTGAGAGGCCCGGGGCGACAAAGGTAAATATGGTCAATAGTCATGATATTTATTGCATTCCATGTTGTACATAAGGTCTTACACAATCTATAGTCTCAAACATAGACCCGGCTTGGGTAATGAGACCCCCGTATGTAAGAAGGGACATGGATATAAAGGATTGAATCAAATGGATTATTGGATTGTTATAATGCTCTTATTTGGGATCGGCATAATTATATTCTGATTGCACATAACCTCAGCATTAAATTGCTCTGACAGTGCGAAAACAAACTGATCTAGGAATAATAATAAATGCGATTTGCAAAACTGTAGCCTAATATAACGTTAACATAAAGTTGACTTCATACTTTTGATGTATTTTGCTAGTTTGAATCACCTACAGAAATCCCTTTGAACAGACAGAAATAGATTTATTACGTTGGGAGACTCCCCAGCACACGCCCGTCACCTGTGGACGCGTGTCGTTAATGTAAAGATGGGTGTACATTCACCCCTTTATTTTAATAAAAGTTACACCATAGTTGAACCCTGTTTTAAAGTGATGTTTGGTATAGAAATGTCACTTAAAAATAGTGTTCAATTAGGGTTTAACCACGGTATAAAGAAGCTTTTAGTTCCCATTGTTTGGTTAGACAGTCATTTTTATTAATTCGACCCTATTATTTGTCATTTTCTTGATAATGTAATGTGCCTTGAATGTTTTGCAAATACTTTTCTCTACTATCTACATTTACAATATTTAATGTTATTGTGTGATAGTTTGGCCTGCACACTCTGTGTACTCACCTTTACGAAAACATTCCAAATAATGCTTCTTGAGATGCGACCACAGTCGAGCATTTTTAATTCGTCAGCGAACGTAAACATATTACTTCAAATATTTCAACATTAGTTGCCAAAGGTCGCTTAATATAATGTTAGCGATCGCATACCTACTTTGTTCTATTCAAAACTATTCCATCGAGTATATTATAAATGTAGACTTATTATTATGATGACCATCGCCCGCTTTGCCAAGTATTTACATCAATTTCATTTCGGTTTGGCAAACAAATGTATCGTAAAGTTTACTATTCTGACACACACATACCATTTCTTGATCTGTGCACCCAAACTACCTGACTATCCTAAGTAATTTAAGCGGTAACTTAATGCCATAAATATTCCGGGGCGGTAAACGGTTAAGGTAGTGTGGCCCCAGCCAGCAGCATTAGAAATACATGAAATGCTCCAATGACTTTTTATAACTTCTATCTGGCCGTTTGGTGTAGTGGTTCAGAACGGACTACTATGCCGAGAGGTCCCGGGTTCGATTCCCGGCCGGGCAGAAATTGAAATGATGAATTTTAATTTCTGTGACGGGTCTGGGTGTGACTATGTATAATATTTATGTATTTAAAAAAAAAAGTATATATAAGTAGTATATCCGTTAAGCTAGCACCCATAACACAAGCATTAAGTTGCTTACTTTGGGGCTAGCTGGCGCTGTGTGAAATTGTCCAAAGATTTATTACTATAATATTTAAAGTATATTTATCCAAAACACTGTTTCCCAGGTTCATGTGCGTGGATACAGTAGAGCAGAGCATCCGCAAGCTGCAGGAAGCGAAACTGGAACTGGCCGAGAACGTTCTGACGGGCGCCAAGCACACCAACTCCAAGCTGTCCATCGACGACCTCAAACTGCTCTTCAATATGGGGCAGCCGGGCTCTTAACCAAGGGGGCTATACTACGGTCAACATGGGGCATCCTGGGTTTTAAGACCCCTTCTACAGGCTAATACTACGGTCAATATAGGGCATAGTGTAAAATACGGTAGTTGACACCACTAGTCAATCGTTATACTTTTTGTTAGCTGTCCCTTTTTATAAAACGCCACTCTCCTACAGATTTTGGATAGGCAATAGCAAAGGTAAAATGACGTCACTAATTCGCGAACTCAATTGATTTTAAAGCTATGAATTTTACAGCAAACTGAAAACTAACTGCTTTCAGGGCAACAATGTTTTGTTAGATAAGTATTGTGTTATTATAAGTAATGGTGTCAACTATCCAATTGGTTGATCCAATTCTAAAACACCTCATTTCGTAGGGTGATGCCCAAGCGATAGAAAGTATCTTACAGAGGAATATTATGGTCTTTTATAATGTTTTTCGAAAGCCTCCCGGCTTGGGGCGATTCCAATGGGAACCTTCCGACTTACTTAATCCTACCCACCGTTTACCACCTTTTCATTGACCCAAATAATTCGAGCATTTAAGATAATGTAAATATAATTAACATTAGTGCCATAAAATAGTATGTAATGAAAGATAATAACTCTTAAAAATGACATGTAATAATAGCAACTCCATTCCAATTAGTAATTGACCCACTTAGCATTTTGAATTTTATAAATGACAATAACTGTAAATATTTTAATGAATAATTCTAGTTTAACTTTAGAAATGTTAATTGAATCTCACGGCCTCAGTTTGTCCACAAAGATATTTTCATTTCGTCATAAAATAGTTGAAGTGATATATTATGAGGTCGTTTGTCTGCGTGTGTATCAAACTAGCGCCGCGGTTATATTTTAACGTTGATCTTTGCTCCGAGAAATTGTTACAAATTGGCCGCGCGCTAACTCAGCCCATGAGCCGGTTCATTACGATGTTATAATAGGAATAAATGTCTTGCAAATGAGTGTCGTAATTTCGTCCTATGTTAATGAATATTTTGAATAATGATAGCAAATATTTTAAGACAAGTTTAAAATATATTATGTTAATTTGTTTATATTTTTTAGTTTTATTTAGCTGCCCTAAACTAATTTGTTTCTCACTTCACAACCCATAATACTTAGAAAAATAATTTAAAATTGCTATATTATGTACTTAAAAAATATTGCAGTAATTGGATCGTGAGAAAAATTAATCAGTCCTTGAACGAGATGTGCACAAACACATCCCAAGCATGCGGGCATTAGTCAAGTGATAAAATTAGATTAATTTCTCAGAAACACCGTTGGAAAACATTGTCTCATAAGAAAACATCCCGCAATTTCACAGCCTATTAGAGTTTTGGCACCGGTGCAAACCGCCGTTTGAACTGAAACATTCATTCAGTTTAATCATGAAAAAAACCGATACAGTTTGCTCGTGTTGTCTAATAATAGTGCGAGATTCACGGCCGGCGGGTCGCGACGAAAATATGAGCATTGCGCGCGAGTGACAACGCGCGCCGACTGATGCTGGCTGCAGCGCAGTGTCTATGGATTCACTTCATCTGCTGTATGGAAAACAGGATTTGCGATCATTTTTCGCGCCATTTGCTGGTTTCTGGAGTTGTTTTAAGTCTGGCTATGAGCATGGAGCGCCGCTCCTACTCCGGACCCTCCACTCCGCCGCCCGTCAGCAAGCGGCTCTTCGCGACGGTCGTACTGTTTATAGGAGTCATCTGTGTTTTCGGAGGTAAGATTTATTTATTAAACACATGTCAGGCGGGCGATTCCCGAAAGTTATTTGACGTTTGATCAATAAATATTCGCGGTGTTGCCGTTTATTTTGACTTTGTACGCCCGCAAGCTAAGCCGCAAACAATAACGGTACCGCTAGGCATTTGTATTTTTTTTTATGTAGGTATTTACTGGCTAAACCACGCGTATATTTTTGAAGTAAATTTTTTTACACGTGATTTAAAAAAATATGTTTTACCAAGAAAACATCGCAAAACTCTACGTGTACTGTCGGTTGATTGTATCGCAAACTCTAGGTACTTGATAGATTTTATTAAGAACATTAGAAGATATCAAAATTATACGAGAAGGTACCTATTACTTGCTTCATAAATTGTAACTCTTAACGACATATTGTTTTAAAATTAGCCAATTGTTTTTTTTTAACTAAAGATTAACACACTCCCTACCAAATGTCAATTAATAAAGTTAACTAACTAATGGGTGATTGCAGAATCTTCTAGTCTAAAATCAACCAGTAATCACTGATCATTATACAGAAAATTAACATAATTAATGCGAACGATCCAGGTTCATCAACTGATGACATTCCAGACAACGATTGGCTAATTTCAGCTTCGTGGCATTTATCCTAGCGGCGTTCTCCGAACAATTAATAACCGACTGTCGCGTGGTATTATTTTTATACTTATTTATGAGCAAGTAAAACGCATTTCAAAAGAACTGAACGATTTATTAGAAAGGATTAAACTCGATATAATTTATTGGCCTTATTGGCAAACCACTAACACTAAACGTCAAAGATATATTGGTACTATGCATTAATAGCTTGTACTTCTCACCATAAAATTATTGCCACGCGTGGTAATTAATTATTTTAAAATAAAATATCGGAAATTATGACAAGAAGAAATAAAATACAACAAGACTGGAGGTCTGGCTGTAGCAAGCAATATTTATCTCTAGGTGATTACTTCCTCAATCACCTAGATATTGCTCTCAAGTCCCCACTGATTAGAGATATTTTTTAAGACTTATGTTGTCGTTCCAGGGTACCTTCTAGGGCGAATGGCACGCGTGGAGCCGCGCCATGCCGGCGCCATCGTCTCCGCCAACCTGTCCCTGGTTGCTGATCAGCTCTACAAGAAAGCCAAGAGGATCCCGCCAAAAGCCGTCCACCATAACGACCCCGAAAAAATAAGGATCAAACTCCACGAAATATTCCAATGTAATCAAAACGATTGCGGCTCTATCAATAATTACAATTTAAGTGATTATTTAAGAAACTCTATAAATTACCAAATGATTAAACTGATGAAATCAATACACAATGCGACCACTTATTTAGATTCGTTAAGATGACATTAACTAAAATAATTTAGATTTTATTGTATAGTTGTTAAGATGTAAAAATAAATCAGTTGTTAAGATGTATAAATAATCGAAAATGTCGGAAGATAAAGTTAGTATAGTCATGAAATAAATTATTTTCCTACATTATCTCCAAAACCTTTTCATTTCGAATCGATCAAACTATTCGGGCAAAGTTCGTTTATAATTTACCGCCAACACAAATCACAAAATGGTCATAGATATTCGTTCAAAAATTAAAATCTGGTGCGGTAATTGTAACAATTAAAGAAAAGTTTGAATTCCATCTGTAGTATTAAACAAAAATATAGAAGTTTAATTAATTACTTTAAGAGTTATTAAATCTTGATGTATTTTTTAATTATTTGCTTTAAAATACGTAAACATGAATTTATTTTCTGATAACATCAGAGTCTGCTCTCTGGATAACATACAAAATTTCTGAACGTAATAGTGATAACTTTACTCTATGCTATTAGCTTTCTAACAGCCAATAGTCATGTTCTGTAATAACAATAAATATTTCAATGGCCAATCACATAGCGCTATTTTGACATTGACTAGAAAGGTTACCAATCAGAAGCGTCATCCCCACCACTGTCATCATTAACTGCGACGCTTCCTTGTCGACCGCCGCCGCGCGCAACCCCGCCATTTTGTATTGAGATAGCGGAATCAGCGGATTTGCGAGGTTACAAGTTTGGCGTCTTCAGTGCAGTGTTGTGATTTTGCAGTGAAATCTAGTGGGAGCTTGTATATTTTGGATTCACAATGGTGCCGGTGAGTAGAGATCCTCGTTTTCGTAGCGTTAAACCGCGGTTTTTGACCGATTTCGCCTAACGCAATGTGCGTCGTTTCGCAGCAAACGAAGGTGTTCGTCGGCAGCCTGCCCCAGGGCTCCAAGCCGGAGGACCTGCGGAAGCTCTTCGAGCGTTTCGGCGTCGTCACCGAGTGCGACATCATGAACAGATGCGGGTTCGTCCACATGCAGACCGAGGAGCAGGCGTCGGCGGCGATCCGCTCGCTGAACAACAGCACGTTCAACGGCGGCGTGATCACCGTGGAGCGCGGCCGCATCAAGGAGCGCGGGCAGCGCGGCGGCGGCCGGGGCGGCGGCGCCCGCGGGGGCATGCGCGGCGGCGGCGACCGGCGCGGCGGCGGCCCGATGCGGGGCCCGGGCGGAGGCCGCGACGCGCCGTACTCGCGGCCGCCGATGCGCGCCGGGCCGCCGCCGCACGGGCCGCCGATGCGCAACGGCATGGGCGGCGGCTACGACCGCGGCGCGGACCGCGCGAGCGGCTACGACGACCGGTACAACGGCTACGGCTACGGCGGCGAGGACCGGCGCGGCTTCGCGCTGATGGAGGGCCGCGCGCGGGACCCGTACGCGGCGGCGGCGCCGATGTACGACGACCGGCGCGGGTACGCGGCGCCGGCGGAGGAGCTGGCGCCGCTGTACGACGACCGGCGCGCGCCCATGTACGACGAGCGCGAGCTGATGGACCGGCGCGCGCCCATGCGGGGCCCCATGCCCATGGCGGCGGGCTACGAGCGCGCCGCGCCGCCGCGCCCCATGGGCAACGGGGACATGTTCAGCAGACGATCACCCATGTGAGTAGCTTTACAGTCTTTCTTACACACTCTTAATGCACACCGCTGCCGAAACAGATCTTGACGATATTCTCATAAAAAATCACTAAGAATTGTGGTAATTTTGCTCCGTTATAATATGTGATTGTAATTACGAATCTTTGTTACGAGGCTGCATTTAGCGGAAGACACTTCTTGACTTTTTTTTTAAATATGTTGAATAATCAAAAATTGTGTAACACATTCCAAAATACTTCTGCATTGTTATTATTTACCATAATTTCTGAATATTATTCTTTACAAGTAGTGTTATTCTGGCCAAAATTAATACTTGTTGTTTGGCTTTCCAGGAGAGGAGGCCCCTCCGGCCCCGCGGGCTACGAGCGGGATCCGTATGCGCAGCAGTACCCCCCGATGGGACGGTAAGCTCTACATTCCACATTTTCTCCAGTATTCATGTATTGGCAGTGAAAAAACTTCATTGTCTTAACTTGTAATACAAGAGTAACTAGATAGTAATTAAATACGTGAAATAAATTATAAGAAATAAATACTGTTTAGTGTAATTTTAGAAGTGTAATTCACAAGAAAAATGCAGTGTTGTTTACTCACTGATATGCCAAAACATAATGCATCATTCATTGTGTTAAATCTAACTAAAACAATGTTAATTTAATGTTTGAAAATTGTTTACCTAATATTCGTCTACGGTTACTACTTACTATAAACTTTTGTCATGCAGCTAATGCGAAAATGGACAAATCAGTATAAGGTGACGAAAATTTTTTGTATTGTCAATGTTTATAAGAGCCTTCCATATAGTCGATGCGATCGGACACCTCTTAGATTATAGTGATGACAGGCGTTACAAGGACCGAAGCGTTTTCGAAGTAATCAGTCATAGACGAGCTAACGGAGAGTTAAAGGTGTAATACACGCCTCGAGCCGGTTGTCGGTTGTAACATTAGCGTACGTACTCGGTCGGTGTCACGCGGAGTCATGTATTGCGTTGTTGTGATGTCGATAGCTTCAGTGTCGCCAGTTGATCATGGAAATAGTCTTACTCGAGATAGTTCGGGGCGCGAAACGGTGTCGATTAAAAGTTTTATTTACAAGAGTCCTTAGGAGCGTTATGCTTTCGTAAACTCAACCTCAAGGTTCGTCGGTGTCATATATTACAATAGTTTTAATAGGAAACAAATAATATTACCGATATTGTCTATAGAAGCGAGTTCTGTCGTATTTCGTTACCTAACTTCATCGATCGGCCATCGAGAGTACGGCTATTTTGGAGGTCACGAGTGCAATGAGGCTACCGAGCAGTAGTGTGCGGTCGCGCCAGTCACTATGAGCTAAGGGCGCGTCTGACGGGCTGTTCTGTGTAGCGGCGGCGGCGGCGCGGCGCGCGGGCGGGAGCTGGGACGGCGCTACTAGCGGCTCTCCATAGACTTAAGCCGTAGACTAAACGTGACACGAACGAACGACACCCGTAGTTGTCTTCCGGGCGAATGCGTGCGCTTACGTTGCGGTGCGGTGCGACCGATCGCGTACTTGTAAAGTAACTGAGATTATACGGTAAGGTCGCCTAGATTAACCCATTATAGACTGAGTTTTCTTAAAGTGTCAGATTTTTGTTTTTTTGAAATATGTTCATAATTATGGTCTACATAATGCTATACAAGCATTAAAAAAATGATCCGACCTGTAATCTAGAAAAAAAATGCTGGTACCATATGGTACCGCTAGCCTCTTACCGTGTCAGTCGGTTAAAACATAACTTTATCATGAACTTTATAAAAATAGGGTTAATTATATATTTTATTATTATTATTACATGTATTAATATACAAGCAAATAACAGAAGTGATATTAAATGTAAAAAAACTGTATATTGGGTAAGGAATATTCATTTTTATCTTTGAATATTCAAAAATTTGGAATGGAGCTTGGCATTGCACGCTGCACTTAGCCCCACGTAACATTTCCTATACTCTAATATTGTTCGAGAGTTGCAATTATTTCGAGTTCGTTCTATAAATATCTGCTTCGTCTTGGGACCTTCATCGTCCTCCAAAACTGCCAATGTTTCGTGTAAGTTACATCTAAAATAAATAAAAACCCATGGTTTTGTAAAGTATAGGAAACTATTTTACTTTATCTTCCTGTATACCTTATATACCATTGAATATATCACATACTTCCCAATAAATACAGTAAAAACTAAAAATCATAAAATAATTAAAAAGACACGGTAAGCGGCTAGCGGTACCGTACGGTACCAGTCATTTTGACATACAATATTTCCCATTATTATTACCTATCGACGTAATTTTACACCATTTCACAATAAGAGAACTTATGGAAAATACAAGATTGTAACAAAATCAGTATTTCACTATCACACAAAAAAAATATGATCACTTACTTGAATGGCGCGTCAATTTTTGAGAGAAAATTTTGATGCGCTCACTTCAATCATTAATTACACACAACTGAAAAGAATAACTGTCAATTTTTATTCCTAGAAGCATAGACCATATCTATTGGCTACAACTTGCATCAATCAGGGCACTGCATCTTTTCTCGTGTTAATGTATAGAGCCAAATTAAAACACACAAAAAAGTGGTACCATATGGGACCGCTAGTCTATAATGGGTTAAGTATCCATGCAGATAATAAATTATGTGAATCACTTTAAATTTTAATAAACGAACATAATTCTGACGGACAGTTTGATTTCTCCTGCCGATGATATGATTTGACAATAATATTTTTGAAAACTCTTTTGGACTAGATTTGTATTGATTATTATTATTATAATCTAAGAAATAAGGTGTTTATGTTTAAGTTGTACGATATTTTACTTTGTAGATTAAATTCATTTTTAAGTAGAATATTTTTTTCTTATTAAATCTCCTGCGCTACACACATGCATGACGATCCTCTCCAGCTTGCAACTGCTGCTTCTTCTGAGTTCTATGGTTGCGGTTATTAGTTTAAAAGTTCATTTATTTTGGTTTATTACTACTATCACTATCATTTTCGTTGAGTCAGCTGCTATGTAGTCATTTGAAAGGATAGTGCCAGGGTCTGGACCAAGTGCTGCCCAGAATCAACCCATAGTGCATTTTGTTCCTCAGGCCAATACTAATGTGTAAACCGAAGCGCACTGCAATCTATCCCTGGAGTTAAGAGAAAAAAAGAGTTTCGTTTTGAAATATTTACATACAAAATATCGATATATACGTACTACGCATAAGATTTCGTGATTTTGGCATTAAATAACACTCGATTTGTTGAATTTAACCATACTGCATCCGTACGCGTTACTTTAGTGCGACTTAGACATTCTTTATTAGCGATCTAGCGCTGTTGCAATAGTTTGGTTAGTTGACAGAAATCATTATAATTTCCAAAATGAAGCAAGAAGTTTTAGTTTTCTATCCTTGCGAAAAATCAATTTATTGGTGTATTACAATCGATTATTGAAGTTATTGTAAGCTAAAACTTCTTAATTCGACTTCTTAAATTAATTTCGGTCAACTAACCAAACTACTGCAACAGCGCTTGATCGCTTATAAATAATGTCGAAGTCGTACTAAATTAAGGTGTACGGATGCAATATGGTTAAGTTCAACATAGCGAGTGTTATTTAATGCTAAAATCGCGAAATCTTATGCGTAGTAGGTATACATCGATGATATTTTGTATGTAAATAATTCCAAACAAAACTCTTTTTTTCTCTTAACTCCAGGGATAGATTTCAGTGCGCTCCGGTTTAAAAATTAGTATTGGCCTGAGGAACAAAATGCACTATGGTTTCATTCTGGGCAGCACTTGGTCCAACTTCCATACATGGATTGGCACTGTCCTTTCAATGAGAAGGCGTGACTAGGATTGTTGTATGGTTCTCAGTAGTAATCGGAGTAAATAGCGCCACGATTAAATGAATTACGAATTAAATTAATATTATAGTCTTTTTCACGTAAGATGATCCGTATGACACTTCAAGGTTATCCATATTACGCATACTACATAATACAGAATATTTTTGAAAAAATATTTGTATTTTATTAGCAATATAATAAAAAAAAAATAACTACCTTGTCTTGAAATATATAGTAAAATCTGAGTCTATTGATTATATTTTAATTAAAAACGATGTAAAAATATCATTTATTTCATGTACGCAACGTGTGAAACGGAATAGATTTAGTGCTGGGGTATTTCTTGTATAATAAAATCAATTATTTCCGCGGTTCATTAATCGATTGCAGTGAATACTTAGTTATTAAAAACATCACAAAAATCAACTATATTTTTCGATTATTGACTTTAATAAACGCATTAAAAATAAATTAATGGTTTTTAATTTAAAGAAACAGAACCAGTACTTTTTAGGAATCGTTTTTTTGAACATGAACCATGAAATTTGAATATTATCAATAAAAAATTGTTACAATAATATTTGTACTTAATTGTAAAAAACATGTTTTTTGTTAAATAACACCTATACAAAATATTTCTCTAAAAGTAGGTTTTACTAACTCTTCGAAAAAAATCGATAGATAAATCGCTATGGTTTAGTTATGTGACATCTCTAAATCTTTCAAACTCGAAACGTCATACGGATCATCTTAGGTGAAAAAGACTATAATGATTCATACTTAATGAAGAGACATTCCTAATGAGGAAATAGCTTTGTGCGTCACTCATATTGCAAAATAACTGCTCAATCTTGATCACATGGTAATAAAATAACGTATGCATCGTTTGCAAATTGCTGACTTTGTAAATTTAGTAATTGGCGCTGCACTGACTCAAAACTAGACTACAGAACACTACACGATGATGCCGATTTGAGTGAGCGGCTGCTAGAGCTGCGACGCGGCCCCGGCTGCGGTCGCACAGAATGTGCCTAACGTGTTGTCGAGCGTCTGCTTTCACATGAGAAAGTGCGTGCGAGTCGTTTTCAGATAGTTAGTGCGGCAACTCGGCACGTACGGCGTTACCGGCGGCGATGCGTACGCTAGCGCGCACGTTACGGGCTAAACGTTAGGCGACCACGGCTGAAGAGGCACCATAGCGAAAAATAACAATCGTAAGTACGGCATAGAAGCACCTCGGCTCCAGCCACTTCTGACGTCCAACCCTTACTCGATGTGCACGTCCACTCGCTGATCGTTGAATTGAGTCAGTCAAACGATCGATTTACAAAAATCGTGCCAATTTCAACTTCAGACAGAACTCCTAAGCGTTCTGAGGCGAGGCTCTTTCCTGTCACGTAAAAACATCAGGCGTTTATATTTTGCAGTCTACACAAATCGTTCTCCGATTTTGAAGTCGTTTCAAGGACTAACTTCATAAAGTTTCGATACGTTCAATGTAATATCGCCTGATCTCCGCCGAGTGTCGATGACTTGCTAACGTGTGCGCGTTTGCAGGAGCTTGCCGCCCGGCTGAGCCCGGCGCGCCGGCGGCGGCGCCGCGGGACCGAGCGAGATCAGGAGCAGCTGCTCCCAGGACCGGCACAGGTCGACTGGTTGACGATTGAATAAACGATGATATTCCTTACATATTTCTTTTATTTTTCTACCCTACAAACTGGTTGATGTGATGACCCATGGAAAGGTGCAAAACATTCTCCAAAACATATTGTTGTAAATCTCAACTCAAACACATTCTATTAACTGTAGGGAACAAGAACAAACACCTCTAATAAATCACATAACACAACTTGTCATGTCGACAGATTTGCTGAACTACAAGAACAATATTAAAGTAGGTAGGGTGACGGAACCAATCATGGACATGTTAAGCGCACTAAATTCGAATTTCGTTTAAAAAGGGGATGTTTTTTGACGATACAAAAGTGGCGATTTTTTTTTCGGCACTCAAATACATGAGGAACATTTAAACAAAACCAAATATCATGTATGTTTAATAGATAATTAATAAAAAAAATATAAATTGAAATTTACGAAATCACCATTGATGGACATCAAAAATCCAGTAATGGACACCCAGTCATGGACATGGACCCAATTATGAACATCCATTAATGGACACTTTTGTATTGAACACATGAATGAAACAAATAATGTCACAAATCAACTTTTATTACTACTATTTGAACTTTCAACATGATCAGTCTTCGATTTTCAAGTATCAGACTTTCAATCAACCATCTGGTGACAAAATGCGCTTCCGTCGGTATTAAATATCCGTCTGGGTTCATCTAAAACATCTTTTAAACCTATAACTTCTATGTATCTCGTTATTTCATCGAACCATTTGCGAATCCCTTCTTCAGTAACGTCATCCCTCGACTTCGAACGACCAAATATCGAATTTACAAATGATCAAATGTTCAAAATATCGAATGATTAAAATATCGAAAATCAATAAAGAAGTTTAAACTAAATATTATAATTATGATGAATATAATAATTTTTTATTTTTATTTCTAGGGTACCATAGTCAACATCAATAAGATCGATTTTCGATAGTTTAATCGTTAGATCTTTTGAAGATTATTTCGATCATTTTGTAAATTCTATATTTTAATCGTTCGATGTTTTGAGTTTTCGATGAAACTTGTTTGATATTTTTACTTTCGATCATTTGTTATTCGATATGGCGGAGATAACCCAGGTTATTCGAGGAACATCAAACCGGAGGGCAGCCGTGCTTATCTTTTCCCCCATCTTTACAGCATCCAATGCTCTCCCCATTTGTTTGGCGGTGTAATTTTGTCTTGGTGCCATCTAAGACAAAACAAAGAACCCAATTATGGACAACTAAAAATACCCAGTTATGGACATCGTCCATCATTGGAAAATAAACAGCAATTACAAAATCAACTCAACCCAAATGTTTAGTGCATCAAATTAAATCATTTAATACAATAAACTAAAAAATCAATTAAAAACTTAAGCATGGACACTTGTCCATTACTGAATTTCATAAAATATCGAATCCAGTAATGAACAAACCCCAGAAAAAACTTATGGCTGTGATAAGACATTTTTAACTTAGCTCAATTTACTTGGTATTTATTATTATTCAGTAAAATTAACATCAAATCTCATTATAACACAACACAAGATAGCACCATGCACAAATATGTACTCACTTCCTTAACGTTTTCAATAGTAAAAACGGATTTTCATGACCACCACGCGTAACGAGATTTCACTTCGCAGCTATCTTAAAACAAAGTGGCCGATTTTGGTGACGTGTGTCAATATAATAGCCCAAACGTCTGTTGATTGTGATTTTAGTGTTGCCAGTTCAAAATGTTGCGACAGTTGCTTAATAAATTCGATCAACGAAAAAAATGTCCATAATTGGTGCCGTGTCCATTACTGGTGCCGTCACCCTAGGTGTGTAAAATAAAAACATTTTTCATTTATTATTTTATTTATTACTTTCATTAGCATAATCAAAATATATTTTTACAGTATGACATTAAAACTTTAGAGAGAATCTACTAAAATTATCACACTTTGTACTCAAGCGAAGCTTCCACTTGTTACCTTATCATATTTTGTATCATAAATATTGCAATACTCAAGCATTGGGAATAATATGAACACTGCTATATTGTATGGCACTATATAAATAAAGAAAATTAATGATAATAATACTTATAGGCAGGAAATAAAAATTAATTGATTAAGTACATAAATTAAAAAATCACAAAATCAGCTCGGCTGTCAACAAAACACACATTAAATATAAAAATATTAAGCATTTCATACAAAATATAGCGAGATCAATTATATGGAACCAATTAAAATATATAAATCGCCCAGTCTCCACATATAAACGTCAGCTGAGCTGGGATAGCTTACTTTTAAAATTCTTAAGTTTTGAGATTCGTTGGATAATTGGATGGATTAAAGATAGATAAATGTAAATCACTTTTATATGTGTGGTGGTAAATTTTACTTGCACTAATCATTTGTGAAACTGGCAAGTACGATGTTAGGCAAAAAGTACAACACACCTTTACGTTTTTATTTTTTGTCTGGCATAATGTTGCCAATAAAAATATATTTTAAATATCTAATTGGTTAGTGAGAAGTGCTATCATTATGCTCTTTTTATCCCAGTTCTAAAATCTCGATATCCGATAAACATTAAATAAATATCTCGAAACTTTGGTAGTGTATGTGTGATCTCCACATAATGTCGACTAGCATCGGTTGATAGATCACACTCCGCTAGATTCAGAGCTAGCCGATAAAATCTTACAGCTACCCACATCAAAAGACGTGTTGACACCACCAATACAAGCAAGTGACGTCACTATTTTGTCAACTCAAATTACTTTTTTCAAATTACAATGCAACCAAAAATCTTAATTAACAGGTAATTTTAAATTAATTAGGTTTTTATTTGTGTAATTGTCTTCTTAAAAAAGTTGTGATTTCGAATTATTGGGGAATCTGTCAAATAGTCTAATAAATTAAAATCGATTGTGCAAAATCATAGAAAACGATGTGAGAAACTATTGATTTGATCTTCGAGCTCGTAAATCATAAAAATATAAATATGTAATACCAATAAAAAATTAAGTACACGTCAACAGGACTACTATCAAGAAATAATACATCTTTAAAGACTAATAAATCTCTTGTTAACTGTTTCAAATTTAGATTCTTTAGTTAAAATATTGATAAGTATAAATAGGCGAAGCAATATAAAATCAAGACCCTTTTTATTCTCCGACTTTTTTTTAGCAATACGAACGGGATGCAATCTCCATGCAACATGTTACATGTAGACAAACAAGCCATATAGATCGTTTCATCCACGAAGACGCGCCCCACCCATCATTCTTTCGCGAATGTTTGTTATCGGTATACGCTAAATTATTAATGAGTGCACACTACATTAATAACGCTCGGATCAAACTCCCCGCACCCCGCGCTTCCCTCGACCAAAAATTGGTGGGGCGCGTCTTCGTGGATGAAACGATCTATCTGTACAAACGCGGTGCTAAAGGGTTATAACGCGCCGTTATATCGCTGAAATAAGTCATAGTATATTATGGGCCTGCAGTGTAGAATAAAATGATATCCGTTATCGTTTAAGTACTTGTACCAACGATAACTCAGTCTATTTAACCTAATTTTCTCAGCTGACCCGCCACTTCTCGCTACGATACGATACACACTTTTAGGACTAACTTCGTGATAGCTACCGCTTGGCTGGAAGAAACTGCTTTAGAAAACTAGCTTTCCGTCCGCGGCTTCGCCCGCGTGGAATTTTGTCTGTCACAGAAAAACTATCGCGCGCGTCCCTGTTTAAAAAACCGGGATAAAATTTATCCTATGTCCTTTCCCGGGGATTCAAACTATCTCTATGCCAAATTTCATCAAAATAGCTTCAGTGGTTTAGGCGTGAAAGCAAGACAGACAGACAGAGTTACTTTCGAATTTATAATATTAGTATAGATTGAAATTTTACTAAGCCATTTCATTTACGACTTTTTTACCGAAATTCGAGAGGCAAAAGTGAGAAATGGCGGATCCTGCTGTTCTCTAAAGCAGTAAGATAGCAAAAGACAAAATTAGCTACACACTTATTAATTTATCAATCCAAATGTTCGCATCGACAACGACGTCCCTTCAATTATTCTAATCTACTCAAAAAGATATACTTTTTGCTATCATACCGCCGTCTACTCTACCGATTTTCGTTCCTCATAGCACCTTATAGATTTGACTAATCGCTACGGCAGGTACTAACATCGAGCCTTGTAAATACGTTTGCAACTCTTTGGCTACCGGTAACGAAGGTGTTAGGACTATTTTATATTAATTATTGCTAAGTGTAGAAGGCAAAGTTTGATTTGTTTGGACTAAACTCATCGGCCAGCGTCTTTTGTAGGGTTAACTAAAGGTATAATCGCATAGCTCGTGTAATTTTCTTATATAAAACGCCTGATGGCTTGATCTTTTAGTCTATTCGTACTTTGACACAATTATTGAATGCTCTGGAAAACATTGGCCGATGATTTTAGCGCACTTATTATTTAATTTCACAACGCATTGGATGCCGCACTTTTTTACGATAGAATAAAGTTTTTAAATCCGGTGTCAAGTCAGTGTTATGAAAATTTTAAGTACAGGACACTTTGATCTTATCTTTTGGTTATTTTATTTGTTTGAGTGATAAGTAAGGTTTAATAAAAAAGTGCGACATTATTATTCAAAACATTTTCTCTAACAGTGATCACAAAATACAAAGTTGCTTGCTCAAAGATTTTGCTAGAAAAAGCAAAACACCGCGAGGTGGTTTAAAATTTTATAATTTTTTCGCGGCCATTTACAGATTTTGTAGGTACTAGTTCCTTAAAAGACACTTCTTTTATTTAAACGATACATTAGTGTGTTTCTTTTTGTTATTTAAAAGGCAGTCAGTAATCGACTACTATTTTTTCGTTTCAAAACATTGATTTATTCATAAATTAAGGACTGAAACTGGTTTCGTATATTAATATTAAAGGCAGCCCATTTGTACTCTGTGAACGTTTTTTCAGTAAAATCTACGCACACAGACAATAGTCAATTATAAAAAATGCGTTTGCAGTATCTGCGTTGTTTATTTGGAAGGACATTCTTCTTGATCAAAACTTAAATAAGGGTTCCTTGTCGGGACTATGGAACCCTAAAAATCGCCTTAGGTACAAGAGCTAAAACCAAACACAGATACTGAAAACACCCGCGATATATTTATTCCTAGCTACATTTGTTTTGATATTCTTTTACTAGCTAATGTATCGCGGCGCAAGAGTTAATGTAGTCTGGAAGCTATACAGGGTGGAAACGATAAGTGATCTCACTCGATTATTTCTACACTACACAAGTTATCGAAAAACTGGGTACTATATCTTGTATAGTTTTTAATATTTTGAGACTTTTCTAAATGTATAGTAGCTGGAAATATTGAATTTTCGGATAGATCCCCTTTATATAACATATCATTGGTATACCATACCATTTGATTGAGCTCGTGGAGCACTTTCAGGATCAGTAACCAGTTTTCGATATCTTGTATAGTTTAGAAATAATCGAGTGAGATCACTTATCGTTTCCACCCTGAATACATAACAGCATAATCTGTTAAAAAACAAAAGGTCCGTATTCTGTAACGAGCAAGTATTGATCTACACATGTCTCATTGTTTGATTATTGAAACAACCGATCACAGGCTTCGATCAACATACGATCATCATCATCATTTCATCCCGGTTAGTAGCGTGAGTGATTGAGTGAAGGCCACGTATAGGAAAACGGAGCGTAAGACGTCCACCCACAAGGTGGACCGACGACCTCATAAAGGTAGCAGGAAAGCGCTGGATGCAGGCCGCTACCAACCGGGCGATGTGGAAAACGTTACGATCAAGTTTAAATCAATTTCAGGATCATCAAAGCCAAAAAGGGAAAATAAGGCACTCTGCCAGTTCGCTAAAAGCATTTAAAAGCTTGAAAAGTCAAGATTGACAATTTGAGGTTCGTCTTATAGATGATCCACGCTGAACTGTCCCGCCAAACTCAATGACAGGGGGGCGCTACCATCGTTCAACTATATGGTTTCCAACATGGCAAAAATCTGAACCAGCGATCCGGTATTGACGGTGGCGCCCCACTGTCAATGTCATCGACAGGACAGTCCAGTATTTTGGAACTATACTTGCCATTACAATTTGTGACGTCAAAAAGATCGTCACGGCTTCCAGACATACACACAGAGATAAGTTTCGAAAAATACCCTATCATCTAGAAGATCTCAAAATAGAACACTTGTTATTTACCTAGCGATACGAATTTGATTTTTTAAGAACTCCTTAAATTTTTAAGTGTGCTACAATTCGGTTTTAAGTAATCTTACAAACCGTAAACACGAGTTTCAGATAATCATAAATAAAATTGTTATGTTGAACTGATCAATCCATGTCAGAAGCTGATTGGTGGCTTGGGTTATTACTTAATATTTAATATGATACCAGAGTTATGCGATGATCAGTTCGACGTGACAATATACATTCGGCATTTTATGAAACACCTAGAAGTGAATTCCTCATAAACTTGACTTTGTTCATAAGTCTTCACCCATAGCCTCTTATAACAGAATAACCAGATCATTGGGGTTATCACATTAATAATTAAAAGTAAGATAGCTGTTATTTTATCACGAAATCCAATTTGAATTTTGGTTGTAACTTGTTAAGCACATGGGTACTTTTAATTTAGGCTGTGATTTGTAAGCATGTTAAGTAGGTACGGTATATCCGTTTCAAATAGGAAACAATTTGAACTATGTCCTCCATATCTTTGGAAAGAAGGAACAAAATTGCTTGAAAATCATCTTGGAATAATGTGGTTAGTGTTGAGGTATGATTTTTAGTGAATAAAATGATCGATCACACATGACTGACACTCGATCACTAGTCCAGAGAAACTGACATGAGAGAATGCAATAGTTATTTCCGCAAATACGAATATTGCGGAGCACATAAAAATGGGACTAATAAAAAAAACAGTTTCTCATGTGGGTATTAGCTCGATGTTGATAAGCCAGATCTATTTCACGCGAAACTGGAATGGATAAGGCTCAAGACTGGCTTGATATTGACTTGGTAAATGGTCTCGCGAAGTCGGACTAATGACAGTAGATGCTGACGTAGATGGTTCAGTGAGTGCTCACGCGAGGCTGGACTAATCACAGCCGGTGGATACTCATGACTGGCTTGATAATAGTCATGCGAAGTCGGATTAGTGACAGTGGATGGTTCACGTTAGGGCCTAATTGCCTCGATTCTTTCTTCGTGAATGGTCACACAAAATCGGACTGTAATACTCTCTAGATCAGGGATGGCGAACCTTTAAGTATCAACGTGCCACTATTCTAAAAAAATGTTTGAAGTAATCATAGACACGTGCCATTAAATTAACACCTAATGCCATCAAGTAGCACCACTGGTGAGTGACACAACCTTACTCTACAGTGGCACTAACTGATGAGGGCAAATACGATAGCTCATAATCAAAACACATTATTTACTATTGAATTACTGAATTTGTGATTGGTGGCGTGCCCAATATTATGTCGCGTGCCATCATTGGCACGCGTGCCATTGGTTCGCCAGCGCTGCTTTAGATGCTTACGTAAGTTGTTGGTCTAGTGACATTCAGTGGGTTCAGGCGGGCGCTAGGACCGCGCGTACTTGAGTGCCTGAGTGAGTGGCTTCTCTTCCTTGAGCGACTCCTTGAGCACGATGTCGGAGTTGACGAAGGGCGGCGGCGCGTCGGCTTCGGAGCCGGTCGGTTCTTCTGATTCGGCGCGGCTGGACTGGTCGCTGGCCGGCCTGGGGACACAAGTTCAGCTTAGCAAGCATCGCTCTGGTTTAGTGTTGCCGATCGATAGTCGACTATCGATTATTAATCGTCAGTCTATCGATAGCCAAACTATCGAAAGACTATCGATTTCCGTATCGATACTATCGTTAGCTCAAAATGAGGCAATACTAATGAATATGTGCAATATTATAGTAAAAGCGCTTTTTTAAAGCCTATTTGCAAAAATAAATGAATTTTATCGATAGTATTGTTGCTCGTGAAGAATAAACTATCGATAGTTTATTCTTCACAAGCAATAATAGTATCGATAGATAAGGCTTTTTCAGATGAAAACTTTCGATAGTTTTACTATAGATAGTTCGGCAACACTACTCTGGTTTCCAAGGAGAGCTCCGTGTACAATTTTGGGTCTGCCATCGGACGCGTTCCCGGGTTGCGGATAGGGGAACGCCTCTAATCACCGGGGATACTGGTTTACTAGCGCGGACAGAAACCCAAGCGCGGCATGTCTCGTCAGCGGGCCTGTCGGGCAACCCGTAATCCACAATAGGCTAGTTTCCTAAAAAAAATTTTTTAGTCCGTCAATTTTAGTACAAAAAAATATTGGACACGTATATTTTTAATTGTCAATCAAACAAATAATTACTAAGTTATAGTGCGTTAAAGTTCCGCCCGACGTTACAAAGTGCTGCACTTTTACACACTCACTGACGTCACGGGCTTTTTCTTTAGAACTTTGGCACGCTTTACATTCTTTCTTCTTTACATTTTCATTAGTTTTAAAAAGTGAAAAACACGTGTCGAGAAGTTTTTGATAAGCTAACTGACGGACTAATTAAAACTCATGCTTTTTAACCCAGGAAACACCCCTATTGAGTGTGCCGGGGGCCGTCGAGGCACTTGCCCGGGCCACGATGCAGGGGACATCTTTAAAAACCCCTTTTCTTTGGAGGCCGTTCTCGGTACTTCTCTGATCAGCAGAGCTGACCGAGCAGTGGCTTGGAGCAGACCATAACCCGCTACGGTGGGCCGGGTGTCCAGTTGTAACAGGGCCACGAGGAAAAACCTATAAAGGAGGAGGAGATTCCCTCGAAGCCGGAGAGGCTCGCTCGTGAGCGATCCTCTAGCCTGAGGCGAAGCTGTCCACGAATGTCCGAGCTAGGACAATATCTCGCGGCTCCGTTTCATTGGGGGGCCACTCACCGGTAGCGGCGCGTGTTGACGGGGGCCAGCGAGGCCAGGTGCCGCAGCAGCGTGTGTCTCGGCGGGGGCCACTCGGCGGCGGGGGGCCACTCACCGGTAGCGGCGCGTGTTGACGGGGGCCAGCGAGGCCAGGTGCCGCAGCAGTGTGTGTCGCGGCGGGTTATAGGGGCATTTTTTGGAGAAATTTATCAAATAACCAAAAAAACACGAATTTTAAAGCAGATTTTTTTCAAAAAGTATCATTTTTTATTATTTGTTGGCCTTTTTTGTGTATTTTATGTATTTTTTTAGTATTGCCTGTTATTTAGCATTATTACTGTTTTTATTTTATCAGGATATACCGTTTAGTTTAAATGTTATTACGTTTTCTTTACAATAAGTAATTGGAAGAAAAAAAATTCTATAAAAAATTAAAAAAAAATCTCAAAAAAATTTTGACCTCTTTTTTGTCGATAAAAATAGGTCTAGTTTCATCTATTTTCATATGTACACTTTAACGTGACTCACACTGTATGTCCCGAATTGGCGGAAAGGCAAAATGTCCTGAAAAGGATCTAAATACTAATAATTTGAATTTGACTACTGTATTTGTATGGCTACCAACCGGGCAACATGGAAAGCATTGGGGGAGGCATATGTTCAGTAGTGGACGTCCTATGGCTAAGATGATATTTTTTATGGCTAAGTAAAGCCCGGTCCGTGAGCACGTAGAATTTTGTCCAATGACTCCAAGCTACCCATCCTTATCGCTTGCGCGTAATTATATTGCTGTCGCGACTGTGCGACGGGCGCCCGCAGTGAGTGTGCGAGCGCAACATAATTACGCGCGAGCGATAAGGATGGGTAGCTTGGGGTCATTGGAAAAAATTCTACGTGCTCGCAGACCAGACTAGGGGTCTGGTTTCTTACCTGGCGGAGTAGAGGAACTGCGCGAAGTGTATATTGGAGACGCAGCCGTCGCGGTCCTCGCTGTCGGTGTAGAGGTCGGTCTCGCGGTAGTACATGTAGAGGAAGTCGTTTAGCTGCTTGGCGATGACGGCGCAGCGGTCCTTGTCGCACATCTTCGCCGGCGGGCCCTGCGACGCTCCAGATTTACTCGGCCATTTTGACACGGGGTAGGATCCACTAACATTGTACAGGTTAAGACACCCCGCAAAAATCCCCCGTTTAATCAGCCGATAATTGGGTCGGCTGAAGTGCGCACATTACACCTATTTGGTATCGGCTAAAGCAGAGTAAATACGAATGAGTAGGTTATCTTCATAGAAACGCACCGAGCGCGGTTTGTATGTGAGCGCGCCAATACGTATGCGGCGCGCACGCACACACTGACAAAATGTATCGTGGATTATCGAGGAGCCAGTCGTGTGGTTGCGCCGAATTTTGTCAGTGCCGCATACGTATTGGCGCGCTCACATACAAACCGCGCTCGGTGCGTTTCTATGAAGAAACCTACTCATTTGTATTTACTCTGTTAAGACACCCCGCAGATTTAATACCCCGTTTAATCAGCCGATTTGGTATCGGCTAAAGCTTCAACCACACCAACGCGTGCAGATCGCCACCGCCGGCGCGATCAAAGGCCAATGACAGGTCGCACGACCCATGACAGTTCACGCGACCTGTCATTTCCCTATGATCGCGCCGGCGATGGCGATCTGCACGCGTGTGTGGTTGAAGCATAATACTAAACTATCGGCCCACTAAAAGTAGTCTGCGGGAAGTATAATGGTCGGGAAATCGATATGACGGACAGTGCAGCGAGGCGTTTAAAAGGTTCATGAGTGGGTGCGCTATGTTTCGCCTGGAGCAGAGCGCCTAGTAAATTGAGCTAACAAATGTGGGATGCTCCAGATTTACTCGGCCATTTTGACACGGGGTAGGACCACGACCAACATTACATCGTCAACATTAACAGGTTAAATGGTCACGAATTTAGGGCGAAAAGTGCTACTACAAAGACACAGGATTTAGATCTATACGAACATTAGTAGTGTACGGTCATTAAAACGCCCCGCTGCACACCCCGTTAATAAATTTGCGACCTCATGCAGTAAATTCTATCAAACCCTTGTCCCAAATTATGTTATTAAACCACACCACTAAGTAAAACTACAACATCAATCAATTAAAGCACACGGAAAACAATTTCACAAAAACATATAACATCAAGTACAGTGTCAGAGATTATTTGATGGTTAGAGTGCAAGTGTGAAGCGCAGCATGGTGCTAAAATGACGTCAATTTGGTCAATGGTATGCAGTGCATGGCTTTAGCAAGTGAATGATTGGTAGAGTATTTGTCTCGTTCCACGCTTGGAACACGAACACGTATTATGTTTACGTGGATGAATGGCGGACTCGCGTACAAATTGACGGCATATGAGTGAATGGACAGATCCTGTAAATAAACTGTGAAAGTATGAGTAGATAGGATAAAGGGGTGGAGCCTACGAATGAATGAATGGGTCGACTAAACCTTTGGTTGAGCGGTGAGATTGTAAGTCGTTACTAAACCTTTAAGAAAAGATATGCATCACGGACAGTAAATATTAATTAAAGGGACCTATCTTACGAGCAATTAGCTGCCTGCTGTGATTGACAAGTGAATGATAGGAACCGAATGACAATGTTAGTGCGGTGCAGTGCGGCATGCCTATAATGGCGTCACCTTTACGTTGTAAGGCATGCGGAGCGTGGCGGAGTGAATGACGAGTGAATGAACGGGAACGAATGGCAACGGTGATGTTAGTGCGGTGCGGCATGCCTACAATGGCGTCACCTTTACGTTGTAAGGCATGCGGAGCGTGGCGGAGTGAATGACGAGTGAATGAACGGGAACGAATGGCAACGGTGATGTTAGTGCGGTGCGGCATGCCTACAATGGCGTCACCTTTACCTACCTACCTTACACCATAACATCGTATGTGCAAAGATGTCATTAAACACGTTAAAATGTAACAGCTGCAATGTAGTGATATGTGAGTTGTTGTCTTATATCCAGTATAAGCACGACGTAATGGACAACGAGAGCCTAATGAAAATATGTGATTCTGCGTTTACGGAAGCTGAAGTTGTTGAAGCAAAGGCACTTCTGTTTGAATCGGTGAAATCGACACAAAAGAAAGTGACAAGACGGAAGGACGGAAAAAAGAAAAGGAACATAGAGGACATCATATGTTTTTTCAAGGAGATTGATCCAGACAGCATTCCTGTTTTTGTGGCTCGGAACCTACAGAAACTGCCGCCGATCGACGTAGACCATGTTGATGTTATCACAATGCTAAAGGACATCACAGCACTGCGAAATGAAATAAGCTGCATCAAGGACACCTTTGCAACAAACAGACAATTGCAAGAGCTACAGATAGATCTGGAAAATTTAAAATCGGCATCCATGGTCAACCAGCATCATAATATAAATACAAGAAAAAGAGGAGCTTATCTGCTTGAAAGTGGGCCGATTGGCTTATCACCATCGCTAAACGTTGAATTTGAAGGTATATCAGCTGTTCAAGTCTGTAACGGTACCGATGAATCGGATAGGTTGTCCCGCTCGTACCTATATGAAGTGGCGGACAGTGAAAAACATCCTGTCCTTCTTACGCCTCGGACCCGACCGGGCACGAAGTGCGCGCAAGCAACGACGAAGGCGCTCGATCCAACACGATCTCGTGCATCGGAGCCCGTCGGGCAATCTCGTTCACAAGCGGAAACGCACGACAAGTTGTCATCTCACACGATGTCAAACGAAAGTACAACAGATGAAATGGGCGAAAATATGGCGGCGACATTGAGCACTGAGAATTTTCGGCGGCCAAGTATGGCGGAAATTGTTAGAAAAGAAGGCACATGGACACAAAATAAACCAAGTGAGGAGTGGAAAATGGTTCAACGGAAGAGGTTGCGTAATCGTTTCATTGGGGAGACGGGAAAAGCAGTAACTGACCCAGAAATGAAATTTAGAGCAGCGGATATTAAAACTCCATTGTTTATTTCAAATGTGGACAAAGTGACATCTGAGACTGATATTTGTACCTACATTCAATCGAAGACAAATGAGATTGTCTCGTTGGAAAAAATTGACATGAAGTCAGAAAAGCCATACAATGCGTTTAAAATATTCGTAGCACTTAATAAACTGGATCTTTACCTAAATGATCAGCTGTGGCCAGATGGAATAAAGTTTAGGCGATTTATACATTTCAAGAAGAGACTACCTGTAGAAAAAAGGAGTTTGAATAAGATGTCTATCTGATGACTCACACACACACCAATCGTATTAATAGTACGCTAATAACCTTTAATTGTAAAAATGTGAAAAGGAGTGTAAACTGCGTAAGGTCACTATGTAAAAAAGCGGATGTCGTGGCACTGCAGGAGACGTGGCTTATGCCCCATGACCTCACGTTCCTGGGGGACATCGATCCAGAGTTCAACTACACGGGAAAATCATCTATGGATCCTGTGGCGGGTGTGCTGAGGGGGCGTCCCCATGGCGGAGTCGCGATATTGTGGCGAAGCAGTGCGTTTCGTAGTGTATCAGTGATAAAGTGCGATAATAACCGTATTGTAGCAATACGGGCGGTTACCAGTGATCTACGTGAAATAGTGGTTATCACTGTTTATATGCCAACTGACCAATCGGAAAACTTGCCTAATTTCTTACAGTGTATGGGGGAAATTACTGCTATAATTGAGGACAATAACATTGAAACAGTGTATATGTTAGGTGATTTCAATGCCCATCCGTCGGCTTCTTTTGGTAATGAGTTGCTTAATTTTTGTAACGAAAGGCAATGGAGGTGCGCAGACATAGATAAATTGGGCATTAATTCCGATACGTATACATTTATTAGTGACGTACACGGCTGCAAGCGATGGCTGGACCACTGTTTGGTGAGTAAGTGTGCTTGGTCTACTATATCTGATATCCGGGTGCTTTATGATACATATTGGTCTGATCATACTCCGTTGCTAATCGACTGTAACTTAACACTAATTAGAAATAAATGTATAAACAATATCAATGAGTGTAAAAACAAAATTATTTGGGGTTTACGAACAGACGAGGAAATTAATAAATATACAGAATATTGTAATAAGAGATTAAAATTGATGGATTTCCCTGAGGAATTTCAATATTGTGCTGATAAGATGTGTGATGATATTACTCATAGGTGTATTATAGACAGATTTTATAATAATATTGTTGAGGTGCTTTGTCAGGCGTCAATGGAAGCGCACACTAGGAACTTAAAAATCAATATAAGGAATAATTGTGTTCTAGGGTGGAACAAACATGTATCTCAAGCGCATAAGCAAGCTAGGTTGGATTTTCAAATGTATGTTTTGTATGGTAAACCACAAAGTGGTCCGGTTTATGATCGCATGTACATTAGTAGGAAAATATTTAAATCAAGACTTAAATATTGTCAATCCCATCAAGAGCAAATTAGAATGGATGTGCTTGCAACACAACATTCTACAAAACAATTTGGTAAATTTTGGAGAAGTACTAAAAAACTTAATAGCAAAGCAAGTTTGCCTGTGAGTGTAGAGGGTACTAGTGACCCTGTAGATATTGCTAATATTTTTAAATTGCATTTTGGAGTCCAGTCCCACTTGCAATCACCTACTATATCTCATAATATATGTAACAATCATGTAAGAAATCCAATTAGAATTACTAGTAAGGAAGTAGGTAGAGCTATTAGAAACATGAAAAGAGGAAAATCCCCCGGGCATGACTGGCTTAGTGTAGAACATTTAAAGCATGCAGGCCCACACATAAGTAGGCTTCTATCCCTATTGTACACTTTTTGTTTGAGACATTCTTACTTGCCGTCGAAACTAATGAAGACCATAGTGGTACCACTAATTAAGAACCCTACTGGTGACATATCAGATAAATCTAACTACAGACCTATTTCACTAGCCACTGTTATGGCAAAAGTGCTGGATAGGGTAATGGACGAGCACCTAAGCAAACACATTAAGCTTGAGGATGCTCAATTTGGTTTTAGGCAGGGTTTGTCGACCGAGAGTGCAATATTGGCTCTAAAGCATACTGTGGGTTATTACACAAAAAGAAAGACACCGGTTTTTGCCTGCTTTTTAGATCTATCAAAGGCTTTTGATTTAGTGTCATATAACATTCTTTGGGAGAAACTGAAGGAGGTAGGTATATCGCCGGAAGTCATAGAGATTTTTTCCTATTGGTATAACAATCAAAAGAATGTTGTAAAATGGTCAAATGCTTTCTCTGATGAATACACACTAATGTGTGGGGTAAGACAAGGCGGCTTAACCTCGCCAAGATTTTTCAATTTATATGTAAATCAGCTGATCGGGGAGCTGAGCAGTACGCATGTTGGGTGCCGCATTGATAACGTGAGCGTAAATAACTTNCGTCACCCTAGTTATTTAGAAATAATACTTTGTTCTTTGAAAGTAGAGTAAGAATGATTTGCTTAGTTTGGGACCACATAGATTGTACAGGGTGTCCAGTATGAGACTAGATAGCACTGTGTGAAATGTTGATGGTACCGCGTGAAATGTTGATGGTACCGCGTGAAATGTTGATGGTACCGCGTGAAATGTTGATGGTACCGCGTGAAATGTCGATGGTATTATGTAAAACGTCGACAGCGCATATTATGAAATGTCTAGTGTCAAGTGAACTGCCAAGCTGTGTCAACGATCAAGGCCAAGTGCCAAGAGTGTAAAGCCAAGTGCCAACTATGTGGCCAACTGTCATGTTTATGGCCAAGTGAATCCCAAGTGTATAGTAGACCAAGTGTCAAGTGTGTGACTAAGTGCCATGTACACGGCCAAGTGAGTGACCAAGTGCCAAGTATGAGGCCAAATGCAAAGTTTAGGGCCTAGTACCAAGTATGTGGCCAAGTTAGTGCCAAGTAAAAGGCCAAGTGTCAAGTATACGTACCAGCAGGCTCGTCCATGGTGCTGATCATGACGGTATACTCCTGTGCGCCGAGTTCGTTGGAGGCCCTCAGATAGTACTTGCGGTCCACGTCCTCTTTACTTATGTGAGGCAGGAATAAGCTGATGTTGTAGAAGCCGCTGCCCTGTGGAAGGAATGAAGGTTACAATCGTCTAGAGAACTTAAGAGTTTGTACTATAACCACAGAATAATAATAATAATACCTATAACTAGCTAAAGTCCGGTCGTCGAGCACATAGAATTTCGTACAACGACCCCAAGCTACCCATCCTTATCGCTCGCGCGTAATTATATATATTGCTGTCGCGACTGTGCGACGGGCGCCCGCAGTGAGTGTGCGAGCGCGACAGCAATATAATTACGCGCGAGCGATAAGGATGGGTAGCTTGGGGTCATTGGACAAAATTCTACGTGCTCACAGGCTTTAAAATATAATGTGAAAAAGAGTGAATTCATGGTGTTTCGAGGAAAGAACAAATTACCAAATTATATTCCTCCTCTTACATTGAATGGGGCAATTTTGAAACGTGTATCTCAGTTCAAGTACCTTGGGCACATAGTCACAGAGGATTTAAAGGATGACAAAGACATAGAGAGAGAGCGTAGGGCATTGGCGATTCGTGGCGGGGTGCTGACCCACAGATTCGCTCGTTGTACTGCGCAGGTAAAACTAACCCTATTTAAAGCCTACTGCCAAAGTTTCTACACGAGTGGTCTGTGGACCAGTTTTACGCAGCGGTCCCTTGGTGCCCTACGAGTCCAATATAATAACATTTTCAGGGCTCTATTTCGACTACCTCGGTACTGTAGTGCCTCGGGCATGTTCGCGGATGCTCATATTGACGATTTTCACTCAATTATGCGCAAAATAACTGCGTCTGTGTTACAAAGACTGAGGACAAGTGGGAATGGAATCCTGAAAATGATTGCTGAGAGGCTGGACTCAGCCGTCTATGGTCGCTTTGTTGACTTACACATTAGGCATGTGAAGCTATACAGCGTCCATAGATAAAGAGTCAATATACAGAACCCATGATGTACGACTAACATATTTCTAAGAACATTGTTACTAACTCTACTAATATAGTCTCTAAGTTCAAATTGTTACTAACCAAACTATGGACTGCTTTTGTCTGATAATAAATGATTTTTATTTTTATTTTATTTATTTATTTATAAAGTCGACGACACCTCGTTTGTGGCCCTCCCAAATTCGGCAGGAACCAACTCAGTGCGCCGGCTGCCTTGAGGAGGCGTGGCGCTAGCCCGTTGAAGTGCGGGCTAAAATGCCACCTCCCATCAAGTGTGAGGCCCAGATATTTCATCTTTGACGTCAATCCTAACGTCCTCAACCACAATGTGGGCGTCGGGAGGGCCCGGAAAGAAGAGGGCCTCGGTCTTCTCCAGAGCGACTTTCAGGCCGAGGCGTCGCATTCTGCGAGCGACTAATGTGCCGCCCGCCGACGCCAGCCGTGCCGCGGCCCCAAATGTCTTCCCCCGGGCAGTGACCAGAGTGTCATTCGCATAGCATATGAAACTCGTGCCCGCGAGAAGGACGCCCCGGAGGAGCCAGTTGAAGCCTAGGTTCCACAAGAGTGGACCGAGCACCGAACCCTGCGGAACCCCGCTGGCTACGCCGCGCGGTTAGAGCTGGCTGTCTCTGTTAACATACAGGACTTCGCGATTCCGTAAGTAATCAGCCAGCAGCGCTCGAAGGTACTGACACTGAGGCACTCTGTGATGTTGAAGTGCCTAGAGTATGGTGGAATGAGGGATGGTATTGAAAGCGTTGACTTTATCGAATGATACAGCCAACACACCCTCAGTCACCCCTCTCCCTAGCCTCCGCAGTGAGGCTTTTTAGCCTCTGAAGAGTGTCGACGGTCGACCTGTCATGTAAACCAAAGCAGTACTGTCAACGCTGCAACGTCACGAAAATGAATTAGGTTCCACAATATCGAAATAATTATGACGGCTGAATGTGTAAACCAAAATAAGACAAAGTTTTAAGGTGGTTTGAGTTTTGTTACTTAAAAATAATCTTTAACATTTTTTTATTTATTTTTTGATTGGGAGTGCTGGGCCCCTGGTCATAGTGGGCCCCTAGGCACTGGCCTAAAGTGCCTTATGGATAATACGGCACTGGCTAGAGGGCGCCACATTAGANAGTCTCTAAGTTCAAATTGTTACTAACCAAACTATGGACTGCTTTTGTCTGATAATAAATGATTTTTATTTTTATTTATTTTTATTTATAATACATGAGTCAAATGACTATTACTATTAAACTAACTGATGTATGTAAACTAACTGATGTATGTTAATTGTTATAGTTTTTCTTGAAATTGCATGAAAAGCAGTATTATTACAATTTTTTCCAGATTTTTCAAGCCAACAGTTTAGTTTTAAGAGGGGGGGGGGACGCCCTACTCGAACAAAAATTGGCACTTTAAACTTTAATAATTTGCAAACAAACAAAAAAACCCTAAATGGAAAAATAGTCTTAGAAACCCCTAGGCCATTTTAAAAGACCTATCCAACGATACCCCACACGATGGGGTAGATGAAAAAAAAAGAGCTACCCTAAAAATTTTTTTTTCAAAATTTTATTCTACCGTTTTTCGGCGTAATTAATATACGTACTTCCACAAAACTACAGCTCCCTAATGCCAACAGTTTCCAAGCAAATCCTCGGACAGACAGACAGACATTATCGGGTTCCTTGTCAGGACTACGGAACCCTCAAAAAGAACTTCCATAGGTACAAAACCATTTTAAAAACTGCGCCGTTTCCTGAACATTTTACATTCATAATAATACAAAAAAACATGTACTTAATGGGCCACTATTTCCTGTAATTGCTCCACTAAAGTGGTAAGTCGGAGATTCCATTACATGTTTTTGACTTTCTTAGAGTGAATTAATATTGGGAATCCTCTAAGTTTACATGACGTAGAACAGATTCAGAGACGATAACTGGACAGAACATGTTTTTATTCTCAACGAGGAAGCTCTTGCCCTTCATCACACCTGGTGGAAACTGATGATTAGACTGAAGGTGGAAGGGAACTTCAACTATAAGGAACTATGGCTTCCTAACTCCAAATGTGTAATATGGAAAGCATTGGGGGAGACCTATGTTAAGCAGTGGGTGGACGTCCTATGGCTTGTGTACTTGTAGCGCCCCCAACCCAGAGTTAGCGTAAGGTTCCTAGGTGTGAATAGGTGGTGAAAGATTGAAGATATAAAAATATTAATTCATAACTTAATAAATATTACTGACGATTTAGTAGCTAACTACTCATTGTTCCGGTACATATTATCCGTATAGTNATATACAGAACCCATGATGTACGACTAACATATTTCTAAGAACATTGTTACTAACTCTACTAATATAGTCTCTAAGTTCAAATTGTTACTAACCAAACTATGGACTACTTTTGTCTGAAAATAAATGATTTTTATTTTTTATTTTATTTATTTATTTTAGTAAAGTAACAAAGTTCTTCATAACTTACCATATGAACGGGTTCCAAAGCGCTAATCCCTTCATTGCTCATTCCAGGAGCCAGTGTAACATCTCCTACCCTCCATTCGGCATGAGGCGGGGGGTTGGCCCTAACTGTCACATTGAGGAGCCCTGGGGCTCCCAGCTTGAGGCCGAAGATGGTGATGGGGCCGGATTCCAGACGCTTGGGCATGTCTGGAAAAAAAAATGAGAAAAAGTGAGCATTTTGCCGCTTTGGTGAGCGTTTTGCCGCTTTGTGAGAATTTAACTGGTGTGGTGAGCAGCAGCATTACAACAAGGTCGCTATATGTACACAGTCGCTACTTGTACAAGATCACTGCTTGTATGTCACTACGTGGGCAAGGTAGCTGGATGTTCAAGGTCGCCTCTTGTACAAGGTAGCTGCTAATAGAAAGTCGCTACGTATACAATGTCACTGATTGTACAAGGACGCCAGTGTGCAAGGTTGCTACTTTTACAAGGTCGCTGTTTTTACCAAGTAGCTGCTGTGCAAGGCACTGCATGATTACTAACAAAGTGGCTGCGTGTACAAGGTCACCTCATGTACAGTCACGGAATGAAAAGGTTCGTCAGTTTTCAAATTGATTCCTTCAACGAACCGCGAGCACATATTACCCTTTGAAACTATGTTACAGAATAATCTAGAGTTAGAGAAAATGATCTTTAACTGTTCGTCAGTAAAGTTCAAAATTATTTGACGATTTAACTTGTCAAGAAGATTATTATGATTGATAAACTAAAACCTTCTTGTTGGTTCAACCTGCCAATATCTATTGAATAAAAAAAACTACATTTTGTAACATTGCACTGATGGGATATAAAAATAAACAAGCAAAACCTTATTCGTGAGCAAACGTCAGATTTATTTAAATGTTAGCAGCAATGTTTCTTGCACGGTTATGTTGGCAGGTTTGACTCTTACAGTACCTAGTGCAAGCGAAAACTGACACTAAGGTGACGAACCTTTTCATTCCGCGACTGTACAAGGTCACTTCATGTACAAGGTCACTTCATGTACAAGGTCACTTTATGTACAAGGTCACTTCATGTACAAGGTAGTTGCGTGTACAAGGTCACTTCACGTACAAGGTCTGCATCTACAAAATACTTACAGTGCACAATCAGCTGACGGCGCGCCTCTCTCGGTTGATCCAAAGCCTCATGCTCCGCGACACAAGTGAGAGTTTTGCCGCCGTCATCAGCAGTTAGCATGCGGCTGATGTTCTGAGAGATGGTCTGAAGGTCGCTGCCCGGTTCCGAGGTGATGATGGGCTGGTGGGTGCCATGGAGGATCTGTTCCTTGTCTGGAAGAGGGAGAAAATACATGTTTTAAAATGAGAGAAAGAAAGAGCAGAAGACAGCACATTAGACCAGCGGTTCCCGAAAGGTGGTCCGCGGAACCCTGGGGTTCCGTGGAAAGGCCGCAAGGGTTCCGTAAAAAATATTATCCCACGTTTCGTGACCGACGTTGTTCGCTCGCACCGACTTGTTTACGCACAAGGGAGGGGCAGGGCGTGCGGGCGGAGTAGTACGGGGGTTCCGCTAGGAAAAGTATAATCAATTAGGGTTCCTTGGCAAAGAAAACTTGGGAAACCCTGCATTAGACAATACATTTTTGATGCACAGTAGAAGTTGTAATTATGACAACAATACATAATTTTGCAAGTACGGTTTTTTATGGTAGGTACTCGTGTTTGCAAAAAATTTATGCAAGGAAGTTGCTAGTAGGACAATACTACCCGTTTTCACCATCAATCCCTAATTTTTAACTTACCCTTATGAAAACAAAATTCATATTATGTGTTACCATAGGGGTCACTTAAAATTAGGGTTTGCTGGTGAAAACGGGCATACGTCTTTTAAACACCACTTGTAATTAAATAGGATCCTGTTTTTACTGGTCCAGTTTAATGACATAGCATTATAGCCTTCATTCCAATAGTGTCTGGTCTGCTTAAAAATTTGTATTGAAGTACGGGACTATTCAGACCGCTGCAACTCCTGTGTAGCCAGGATCTACAGCTTGACCGCCAATAACCCAACCAGTGAAGGCCAAGTTTGTCCCGGGGGAAAGTTACACTGTCATTGAACCCGCAACGAAATTAATCAGAAGAACATAGGAGGCGTTCAAAGTTAAGGCGTAGTATTTATCTTCCCTCCATTGCAAAGTGGATGACAGGTGACAAACAGGTTTAGTAACCTTTAAGAAAAGATATGCACCATCTTTATTGTATTGAAGTAGTCGCTTCCACATTCGTCGAGTATCTTCTTAATATATAAAAGGAGAAACTGACTGACTGACTGACTGACATATCAACGCACAGCCTAAACGGCTAAACGTAGGCACTTGAAATTTGGAAGGGACGTAGCTTAGGTACCGTAGAGGTGCACTAAGAAAGGAATTCCAGAAATTCCCACGGGAACGGGAGTTAGCGGGAAAAACATTTGTATGAAAAAATCTAAACTGCGTAAGATAGATGAAGGGGGTAAAACGGGATCCACGCGTACGAAGTCGCGGGCGGCCGCTAGTTGAAGTATACAAAGGGAAACTTGTCTCACCCAGGAACCAACTGATCCTGGCGGCGGGTCTACCATCAGGTACCACGCACTGCGCCATAAAGTTGGTGTCTTCAGCGAAGGAAGGCTCGTTGGGTGATCGCAGCTGAGGCTCGCCGGGCGGTCCTGGAATAAGAAATTATTAGGGTAAGTACATTTCACCGTCTATGGTAAAAAAAACAGTTGAATTAAGGGTTTGAAGGATATGAGAAGGAACATAAAAGATAAGTAAGATAACATCTCGTTTCAGACAAATGACACAGCTGGACAAAGGCCTTCCCTTGGTCTGGTGCCCCCCAAGATGTTGGGCTACTGATTTGAAGATGATAGTTGAAATAGTCTGGTCTGTGAGCACGTAGAATTTTGTCCAATGACCCCAAGCTACCCATCCTTATCGCTCGCGCGTAATTAGGATATTGCTGTCGCGACTGTGCGACGAGCGCCCGCAGTAATTGTGCGAGCGCGACAGCAACATAATTACGTGCGAGCGATAAGGATGGGTAGCTTGGGGTCATTGGACAAAATTCTACGTGCTCACAGACCGGGCTTTAGTACTAATTCATGAGCTATGATACTAATCGTGGTGGTCCAGGCCCCCCCCTGAAAAAGAACCATAGATACACCAATGCTGAACCGCCAAAACTCTTTCACACACGTCACGTTACTGATCTACTCTTCATACTCATCCATCTTCACAATCGTTCACTTTCATCATCATTATTTCACTACGGAACATAGGTCTCCCCAATGATTTTCAGATTGGCCGATATGTAGCGACCTGCATCCAGCGCCTTCCTGCTACCTTTATGTACTCAACTGTCCCACTACTACAACTAGCCACTCCAGAACCTTGCTCCCCATCGGCCGTCAGTTCTGCGTACTATGTGCCCTGCCCATTGCCACTTCAGCTTGCTAATCCGTCGGGCTATGTCAGTGACTTTAGTTCGTTTACGGATCTCCTCATTTCTGATTCGAGCATAGCCCTCTCCACAGCACGCATGGTCAATATGTAATTTTACAAGAAGATCCAAAGTAGATGTCCTACCGTTGCGTTACCAATACTATTTTCTAGATCCAAACGTTCGATGAGTTGGAACCAATGTAGGCCCCAACGTGCTTTTTTAAAGAAGTAGTCAGAATACTTACTGGCTACGACCAGGCGTATAGCTACTGCCAAGTTCGAGGCTGTCTCGTGGCTGTTCCACTTTGAACGAGTGGCATTGGGACCAACTTTGGCGCCAACGTGTCTTTCTAAAGAAGTATGAAGAACACTTACTGGCTACGACCAGGCGCATAACTCCAGCCAGCTCGATGCTGTCACGTGGCCGTTTCACTTTGGACGAGTGGCGTTGGGACCAACTTTGGGGCCAACGTGCCATCCTAAAGAAGTATGAAGAACACTTACTGGCTACGACCAGGCGCATAGCTACTGCCAGCTCGATGCTGTCACGTGGCCGTTCCACTTTGGACGAGTGGCGTTGGGACCAACTTTGATGCCAACGTGCCTTCCTAAAGAAGTATGAAGAACACTTACTGGCTACGACCAGGCGCATAGCTCCAGCCAATTCAATGCTGCCAGTTTGAGGTGGCAGCACGCACGTCACGTTGCCGTTCCATTCTTCCTTGATGTTCTTGATCAGAGCGCCGCACTCGCCCGACTGGAATACAAATTATAAGCATTTTAAAAGTGTTCATACTACATTGCGACAACGCTACAAGAATTTCTAGTAAACGGCAGAATGAAATAAGAAGAGGATAGCGAATGGTTCCGTGGAGGGTAAAGTCCGGTCGATCACGTAGAACTTCGTCCAATGATCCCAAGCTACCTATCCTTATCGCTCACGCGTAATTATATTGCTGTCGCGACTCTCGACCGTGCGACATTGGGGTCATTGGACGAATTCTACGTGCTCGGCGACCGGACTATAGTTGAACGGAAAGCATCAATAGCAGATCAACCGATCTGTTTTAATTTGACTTTTGTATACAAATCTGATGTCATTTGTGTTCTTTAAGGTGCAGTGACTGACTAACTGACTGACTGACATAGTGATCTATCAACGCACAGCCCAAACCACTGGACGAATCGGGCTGAAATTTGGCATGCAGGTAGATGTTATGACGTAGGCATCCGCTAAGAAAGGATTTTACGAAACTCTACCTCTAAGAGGGTAAAACGGGATCCACGTGTACGAAGTCGCGGGCGGCCGCTAGTGAAACTATTAATGGAATCTAAGAATCTGAATAAATAAATAAATATCCTTGGACATTTTTACACTGCGCCGCTAGTCCCAAACTAAGCAAAGCTTGTACTATGGGTACTAGACAACGGATAAACATACTTAAATACTTTTTTTTTTGTAAATACATACATATTATACATAGAAACACCCAGACCCGTCACAGAAATTAAAATTCATCATTTCAATTTCTGCCCGACCGGGAATCGAACCCGGGACCTCTCGGCATAGTAGTCCGTTCTGAACCACTTACACCAAACGGCCGACACTAACGAATTACACGCACTTCTAATTCTTGTATCATCATGAAACTTGGAATTGGCACCAATTAACCTCTTAAATAAGTTTAAGAAGAAGAAGAAGCTCTCATGCTAATGTCAGACAACTACATGGGCAATGTTAGACATCTACCAAGATCCACAAAGCTAATAGGAAGTTCATAAATTCACCAACCTTGAATCCATTCCCGGTGTAGATGACGTCACCGCCCGTGAGGTCCGGTCGCAGTCTGTACGATGTCGTCCCGACTGTCATCCTGGAAATGTCAAAGTGACAACGTCAAAATACTGATTTCAAGGATACATAATCCATTTAGCACTAGCTTAGTGTTCTAAACGGGACTATTCCCACCTCTCGTTCCCACCGCTGCAACTCCTGTGTAGCCAGGATCTACAGCTTGACCGCCAATAACCCAACCAGTGAAGGTCAAGTTTGTCCCGGGGGAAAGATGAACTGTCATTGGACCCGCAAATAACATATAGATGACCCACGCTGAACTGTCCCACCAAACTCAATGACAGGGGGGCGCTACCATCGTTCAACTATATGGTTTCCAACATGGCAAAAATCTGAACCAGCGATCCGGTATAGACGGTGGCGCCCCACTGTCAATGTCATCGACAGGACAGTCCAGTATTTTGGAACTATACGAGGCCTGCTTACACTACGTCTTGTCGATCTGTGGTGGCCACTTGAGAACTTTTTTGTCTCAATGACAAGCTATGTGCCCCGTCCTCTGACACTGACAGTCCTACGAGTGATTTCGCACTGCATCCGTCAAATGGTCCGGACAGGCGTAGATGGTATTTGTAGAGTAGAACTACACTGAACTGTCTGTGGGATATGATGTTCGTCCACAATAAGGAAGCTAGATGTTAGTGCTTCCTTCCGAGCGGGTGTTGTGCTCGGGGACCAAGGTCCAATTTACACCATCTTGGTTTGTTAGATATATTTGGCAGGATATAAAACTCCGTCACCGCGATGCAGGTTTGTATGAGCGGCGGAGTGTGCCATAGTGTAGTAGTGACAGCGCCATCTGTTGGTCACTAGTTTGTAGTGGCGTCGCCACATGTCCTTTATTTGACACTGACAGGGGGCCACCGTCTATAGCGGATCGCTAGTTCCGATTTTTGCCACGGTGGAAACCATGTAGTTGAACGAAGATAGTGGCGCCCTTCTGTCAATATCGTCGGTGGGACATTTCAGTGTAGTTCATCTATATGGTAGTTTACGCATTAAGGTTCGGCCATCGCTGCACGCCGGCCGATTTACGCATTAAGGGTCGGTCAAACCAACGCGATCACACGCAATCAGCCGGCGTGCAACGATGGCGACCTGACTTAAATCACTTAAATGTATTGATCGGCAACGCTGCATGCCGGCTGATCGCATGTGTTCGCTTTGGTTTGGCCGAACCTTTAGATCTGATTTCCGCCATCCGATTTCTGAACTCTGGTTAGTTTTCTAGATCCGTGTTTCGATGGACTCGGATCGGACGTAGTGCGAAACTGTTCTTAGGTTTAAACTAAAATAGTAAGACACGGGTCTTAACGCGACGTTAATTACTGAGTTACATTATGTATGTTGTGTGTCGTGGTAACAACACTAGTGGTAGTGTAACAAATGACAATAATAATATGAGGGTAGTTGAAAATTTTCAAGCCTGCCCGAACCACCCGAACGGACGACGCCGCGAGCCGCCAGTCTGCTTGTGACCACGGCTGCAGCATCGCAGCCGAAACGTCAAGCCGTGAGTACATAATGTAACTCATTAATAAACGTCGCGTTAAGACCCGTGTCTTACTATTTTAGTTGAAATGGAACGCGAAAGTTTAAAATCTTATGTTCTTAGGTTTGAAGGTAGTAGAAGACAGTCCTTACCGGCAAGAGTCGATCACGTAGGGCACCTTGCACAGCACTTTCAACTCATCGCCCACTCGTCTGACCGCCTCGCGAGGCGTGATGTCCACCATTTGACCTGGAACAGAAGATAATACGTTAATTAGACCTTGTATCAATAAATAAATAAGCTAAATCCGGTCGCCGAGCACATAGAATTTCGTCCAATGACCCCAAGCTACCCATCCTTATCGCTCGCGCGTAATTATATTGCTGTCGCGACTGTGCGACGGGCGGCGCAGTGTGTGTGCGAGTGCGACAGCAATATAACTATGCGCGAGCGATAAGGATAGGTAGCTTCAGGTCATTAGACGAAATTTTATGTGGCGACCGGATTTTAGTTCTAGACTAACATTATATAGTTATTGTTTAGTTCTAGACTAAGACTGTAGTTTCCAACATGGCAAAAATCGGAACCAGCGATCCGGTATTGACGGTGGCGCCCCCTGTCAACGTCACTGATGGGACAGTTCGATGAAGTTGGACAATACTGTGTTGATCCCTTTCCACGTTGATAAGTCTGCTACGACCTTTAAAAACCAAACCTACAAAATGTCGCAATGAAAAGTATAAAACTTGCCGTCCATAACCGCACATGTGAACTACAATATGCTGAAATTATGCAATAAAGTACCATAAATAAAATGGAGATACCTATCTCCTATAAATATTGTATCTCGGGCATTCCGCGAAAATTCAAGATACAATGTAAATATGGAGCTAGTCTTGCATACAGAGTGCATTTTATTGCGCGCCTGTGGAACAAGCGGGACAGTGGTCGCCAAACTTAAAAACATAGCCCACTTGGGGCTAAAGGCGGCAAACCAGTTATGCGGATCTAAATGCATTCTTCTGAATAAATTCGTTGCGGGTTCCAAGAAAGTAATACTATCCTATCCACTGATGTGGTTTCATTAGAGGCCAAGCTGTAGATCCAATCCAAGTTTGCGCTTAACTTTGAACTCCTCTTGTTTTTATTCTTAACTAGCAGCCGCCCGCGAATTCGTACGCGAGGATTTCGTTTTACCTCTTTAGGAGTTAAATTTTGCAAAATCCCGTCTTAGTGAGCACCTACGTTCTAAGGCTGGTTTTAGTATCACGCGGACCGTCCGGTGCGGACCCGCTCCGCACGGCCAATCTGTATGAACTTCTAGGGAGCGTTTTAGAGTAATGCGGTCCGGAGGAACCACTCCGCTCCCTAGCAGTTCATACAAATGCGAATGCAGTCCGCGTGACACTAAAACCAGCCTAAAGGGAACCCCCATGCTTTGAGACTCCTAGCACTTATAGTTTCTGAGATTTCGTGATGAGTGAGTGAGTCAATCAGTGGTCCTTTCGCTTTTATATAGATTTCGTTGCGGGTCAACAGTTTAACTTTCCCCCGGGACGAACTTGACCTTTACTGGTTGGGGTTTTGTTGTGCGGCCAAGCTGTAGATCCTGGCTACACAGGAGTTGTAATGGTGGGAACGACTGGTTCTACTTGCTTTTGGTGTAAAGCGGATGACAGACGACCAAATAAGGGTATGTGAGGGCTTCGGGTCGCTAACATAGCCCGACGGATTAGCAAGCTGAAGTGTCAATGGGCAGGGCACAAAGTACGCAGACGGCCGATGGGGCAGAAAGGTTCTGGAATGGAGGCCACGTACCGGGAAACGCAGCGTGGGACGTCCACCTACAAGGTGGACCGACGACATCGTAAAGGTAGCAGGGAAGCGCTGGACGCAGGCCGCTACCAATCGATCAACGTGGAAAGCATTGGGGGAGGCCTATGTTCAGAGGTCCTGTGGCTGAAATCATAATGATGTGGGGGCTTCTGGTTTCAAGAGTGGCTGCTGCCCCTCCCCTCGGTGCCACAGTTTGAGCACCTCCCACATTATTGTAGACGGCCCGAGGCACACAGTATATTGGGTTTTTTCGCAACACGCTCGTTATTGAATTCGTGCAGTTTTATCGTTTATCAGAATGGCTCGTGTAGTGTCGTGTATTCGTTAATGGGTCTAGTTTATAGTTTGGCATGCGTTTGTGATTTTGTATTTCACTAGCTTTCGCCCGGCATCAAATTTTGTCTTTCACAAAAAAACTTTATCGCACGAGTCTTCCAGTGACTTGGCCCACTTTCAGCTTGGACCACGGGCCAAGTCACAGGATTGAATTTTTATATAGGTACTTTTGTTTTTCTTCCAGCAACTTGTTAGTTTTCTCGAATTTTAGGTCTGTCACAGATCTATCGCGCGCGTTCATCATAGTTCAAAAACTGGAATAAAAACTGTCCTATGTTTTTCCCTGGGTCGCAAACTATATCTAAACAAAAAATGATTTACTTATATCCGTATTGTGGTCTAACGTAAAAAGGTAATAGACAGACAGACTGAGGAATTTGATATTGTTTAATCAGATGTAACGATATCTACACGGAATCACGGAATAGAATTTTTACTTCAAATTTTAATTGATAGAGCCTATATGTAGTTTTATTCCATGAATTCTATTGTAAACATAGCATACACTATGGATGGAGTTACATTTATTATTTACAAAAGCATTAAAGTAGAAAGCTTTCAACTGAAGCGCACATTTTAAGCTCGCTGCAATGTTTCAAACCAAAGTTGCAACTTGCAGCGCTCCGGGCGAACGAAAAATTTTGTAAAACTACGAGTTTCAGATGAACTTTATTTTACTATTCTTGTAAAATGGAGTAATATTAAATTCTACAGATAAATGAATAGGTTTTTGAGGTTTTTATAATATTCTTTATTTTTATTTAAATAGAAATGTGTCACCCTTTGGTCAATTTTAAGACCTATTAAAAACTTAAATAAAGAATGAAAGTTTTTAACGCAATTTTAAAATCGTTCTGTCACACACAGCCTATAACACAAATAATGTGGGTTTTCACTGGTAAAAGAATTTTCAAAATCTGTTTAGTAGATCCAGAGAATACCCCCAATAACGTCACAAACTTTACCTCTATAAAATATTAGTATAGCTAAAGCCTGGTCCGTGAGCACGTAGAATTTTGTCCAATGACCCCAAACTACCTATACTTATCGCTCGCGCGTAATTATATTGCTGTCGCGACTGTGCGACTGGCACCCGCAGTGAGTGTGCGAGCGCGACAACAACATAATTACGCGCGAGCGATAAGGATGGGTAGCTTGGGGTCATTGGACAAAATTCTACGTGCTTACGGACCAGGCTTTAGTACTAATACCACCTTCTCACGTGAGTAGAACTAGTATAACTTATTTACAAAGTGTTGCCAAAAATACGGTTCACGCTTGACCGTTTTAATTTGAAGAAGACGCACAAATTACCAATTGAAGAAAAAACCGCTGACATCATACGACTTTGGCTAATCAACCGGCAGCACTGGACAGAGGATGGATGGAGTCGACAATTTTTAATTTTGTCATCATCAACGGTACGTCTTGTTTACGGGACTATTCCCACCTCTCGTTCCCACCACTGCAACTCCTGTGTAGCCAGGATCTACAGCTTGACCGCCACAAAAACCCAACCAATGAAGGTCAAGTTTGTCCCGGGGGAAAGTTAAACTGTCATTGGACCCGCAACGAAATTAATCAGAAGAACATAGGAGGAGTTCGAAATTAAGGTTCGACTTCCCTCCATTGCAAAGGTACGTCTCGTTTATGAGCGGGTTACATGCTCGGAGTTTCCCTGCGTGATCGAATCAGAAATGAGGAGATCCGTAGGAGAATCAAAGTGACCGACATAGCTGAATTGCTAAAATCAAGTGGCAGTGGGCTGGGCACATAGCTCGTAGAGACGATGGCCGTTGGGGCAGAAAAGTTCTCGAGTGGCGACCACGGGCTGGAAGACGTGGCGTGGGCAGACCTCCTACTAGGTGGACCGACGATCTGGTAAAGGTCGCAGGAAGAGCCTGGATGCGGGCAGCGTAGGACCGTGCATTGTGGAAAGCCTTGGGAGAGGCCTTTGTCCAGCAGTGGACGTCATTTGGCTGAAACGAACGAACAACGGAACTATTCCCACCTCTCTTTCCCACCGCTGCAACTCCTGTGGAGGATCTACAGCTGGACCGCCAATAAAAACCAGTAAATGTCAAGTTTGTCCCGGGGGAAAGTAAAACTGTCATTCATCATCAGTGAAAAGAAAGCAAGAAAAGTTATAATCTAAAAAAAAACTTACACAGAAGCGACTCCATCGACTCCTGCGCGTGAGTTTACACAGTTTTATTAGGATCTATGATACCCACGACAGTCATTACTTGATGACTTGTCAATTGCCGGGTGATTGTCCACTTTGTGTCTTTGAATTAAGCTCCAATTTAGCGTGGCGATGCTGTTAATGTTTTTAGTCTAAAGTAGGTTAGAATTTTCGAGGTAATTTGAGCTGTGTGTTTTGGAGTTGATGATACAGTAGTTTATACAGGAGGGTAGAAAAGTACGACAAGTTTTTAAATAAAATAGAGAAACAACAAATTACCCTCGTTCTGGCAAAAATTGATGAGATTCATTTGAAACAAATTAATATAATAAATCTTCTTATACTCAGATCATATATTATCACTAGCCAAACCTAACAGAATGTTCCTATCGAATCGAACCAGGGACTTCTGTGTCTCAAATAACAGAGGTGGCTAATTACACAGACACTATTCTGATTCGATCTCGTAAAGAAACACCGAGCATAGCCCTCTCCGTAGCACGCTGTGCAACTTCTGTATAAGGCCTATAGTGCTAGCTAGTCAAAATACTTGTATATTGTTCACCGTATTATTTCGTGAGGGTAGACAAGACCACTTGGACTCTTTCCGTAGATGTAACTGTATGTTAAAACCACGATGTAAGCAAAAGTAGCAGTTGAGTTTCTATTCACAACTACCTCCACTTTATTCCTTACAAATCCCAATTCCCGTGAATCCAGCAATCCTCATCTTATCTGCGCGACACGGCAACGCTCTCAGCGCCCCTAGCGGCGCGAGCGGGAATTATCCTGAACGGATTTACGTTTCGTCGGGAATTCTAAAGCGTTTAGTTTGATAGTTATCTGGTTTAGGATATATCCTTATCTAAAACTGTTCAAAATCACAAGTAACTCATGATTTATTCATACATACTCGTACTTTG